GAAACCTTGAATATCGTCCAGTACTAATGCTGACATGAAACTGTGAGTATCGTCCAAAACTGATACTGATATTGAAACCTGGAGTATTGGCTGATACTGATATTGAAACTTTGAGTATTGGCTGATACTGATATTGAAACCTTGAGTATCGTCCAGTACTAATACTGACATGAAACCGTGAGTATCGTCCAAAACTGATACTGATATTGAAACCTGGAGAATTGGCTGATACTGATATTGAAACTTTGAGTATTGGCTGATACTGATATTGAAACCTTGAGTATCGTCCAGTACTAATACTGACATGAAACTGTGAGTATCGTCCAATACTTATAGTGATATTGAAACCTTGAGTATTGGCTGATACTGATATTGAAACTTGGAGTACTGTCTGGTTCTGATATCGATATTGAAACCTTGAGTATCAGCTGATCCTGATATTGATATTGAAACCTTGAGTATTGACCGATATTGATACCGATGCTGAGACCTTAATTATTGGCCAATACCAATCCAATATTTCTTCTTTAAAAAAAGTAAATATTGAAGTCCTTAGAGGAAAGTCGGTCCATTCGTTGGCCATCTTGGCAACAACACTGGGCAGTTATTTCCAGCCATACAAGACCAGACTCCTATCTTTTTTAACGGAGAGACCTATGAAACTGAAACTAAAAGCCACATGACTTGTTGAGACGTATAATGATATTGGAAGCATATCAGTTTCAGCACATATTTGCTTAAAAAAATATCATCATCGGACAGATGTTTAGATTTGGCCACTATTTAGAACTGGAGTTCATTGATGTATTTGATGTATTGAACTCCAGAAAAGTAGAATGTTTAGGTGACACCGGGTTACTGCGCTAAAACATCTGCATTTTATTCATTTTACTGCATTTGTATAAAAATAAATTTAGTCCCAATTATTGTGTGTTTTGTTTGTGTGGCGAATGGATCAGACACAGCAGTGCTGCTGGAGTCCAGCAGTGACACTGAGGTGTTTAAAAACTCCAGCAGCACTGCTGTGTCTGATCCACTCGTACCAGCACAACACACACTAACACACCACCACCACATCAGTGTTACTGCAGTGCTGAGAATGATCCACCATCCAAATAGTACCTGCTCTGTGAGGGTCCATGGGGGTCCTGACCACTGAAGAACAGGGTAAAAGGGGGCTAACAAAGTATGCAGAGAAACAGATGGACTACAGTCTGTAACTGTAGAACTACAAAGTGCACCTATATAGTAAGTGGAGCTGATAAAATGGACAATGAGCGTAGAAACAAGGAGGTGGTCATAATGTTAGGCCTGATCAGTGTATATGTGCATGAAAAGTATTCGATATCTGCATGGCCCCACAACTCCCATATCTGTATATTTCTAAAAGACTGGCATTATTTTGAGCAGAAATAGCTTCCCATTTAGGACTGTGATTGGTCAGGATGCTCACAGAAAAACACTGTGATTGGTTAGCTCATTTGCATATGGCAGCCAATATTGCGATGACTATTAACAAAGACTATATTCTGCAGCTTTAATCTGATCTGCTCACTAAAGACGGTCCTGCTGCCATTTGTTTTCTTGATGCGACTCAGTTTGTTACATCTGTTACAGAAACAGCAGTTTCAGAACCTGAGGTGATGATATTTAAAAAAAAAACAGTCTTAAATGAACAACTCTAGTCTAATTACATATTACAAAACAACTTAGACACAATATGCCTCAGTATGTACATCAAAGTGGTTTTATGGGTCCACAATTACATTATAATAGCAGATAATACAATAAAGTTGTCTCACTGTCTCATTCATAACGTTTCTGCGGTTTCATCTGCTGCCATCTAGTGAAAACTTAACTACAATGCAGCACAGCCACAGTTAGAATGATGTCAGAATGTGCAGAGTGAAGAAAAACCCAGATTTAAACACAGATACAAGAAAGAACTGCAAACAGCATGAGAGGGTGATGTTACACTGCACCAGTTCCTGATCTAAAACAGTGATAAACAGTGACTGTATCAACAGTGCTTTGGAACCAAGTGAGGTGATTTATTTTTCTGAGACCCTGAAATGGTTTAAAAAAATAAAACATGCTTTGTGTCTATGAATCCTGTGAAACATGATAAAGCAGAGCTTAAAATACAGCAGCCTTGATCCCCCCTGACAAAAGATATGCAGCAAGTTGATAATATCCTGAAACGCTGGGCATAATAACATAAATACACAGCCACCTGAGGGATATGATGTGAATAAAATCAGATCCTCAGTCTCTGTTTTCATATTTTGCCAGTGTGGCTTTGATGGAGACTTCTGTTTAAAAAACAATCCCTGTGTCTCAATTCGGGCACCGTATTTACACTTTATACACTATTTTTCACCTCAGCATTTAGTTCCTGGGTAATGTAGCACTATCACAAATTAATAAATACAATTTTGGCCACCGAAAATGTATCCAGTCTTTAACTTACATGCTTCTTGGCATTAACTGATTTAAATAAATTATTTAATGGAAATCACATAAATAACACTGAGTAACTCAATATGTTTTAATGTAATATATGTTTTAATGTAATAAACATTTTTACCTCTGGTTTTGAAAGGCGCTACAGCAAACACACAAATTTGTGAGATCCTGCTGGTGTGGGTTCATGGCTGATTCTTCACTAAATGATGAACGCTAAAGCATCATCTTATGTGCTAACAGTGACCCCTGCTGGACAAATTTCAGACTGCTAGACAGGAGTACCAAAAGCACATCCACATGGCTTACGTATTTTTAAAAAATGCGCTGTTTTTTGCCGTTATAGTGGAGGCACTCTGGAATTCAGCTACAGATGCCATTTTCATAATTAAAATTTTATAATATTGATCATTTAATGTCTGTAAATATTTAACATTTTTTAGTTAGGTGTTTATATTTGTTCTGTCAGTTCCTTTTTTCAACATGGTATTTATTGTCTTTGCAGCATCATCAGCATAATCATGTTAATCCAAAAGCATAAAAAATGGAAAATTACATGTAAAAACACTTTCGGTTTTCAGTTTCAGTTTTCGGCTGAATATGTTCTGAATTTTGGTTTCAGTTTCAGTTAAGACTTTTCACTTCAGTGACTCAATACTGAACTGTTTTACACTAAATGGAAATGACAAATCACTATGCAGTATTTCATGTTATTTAATCACGTCTAGGTTAGGAGTTGGCTAACTAATGTTAGCCATAATTTATCATGGCTGGTTACTATGCTAATATTTAAAAAATTTTAGCTGCATGTGGCAAACGAGCCAATGAACACAGCCACAGAAATACAGATATTGTGCAAAATCTAAGCATCAATACGTTAAATTTAAGTGCAGAAAATCCAAGTGCAGAAAAATTCAGGGCCATAGACACACAACAAAATTTAAAAATTTCCTTTGAAGGCTCCGCCCCCTTCCTCTATGCATGGCACCCTGTGGCCACAGTGTAACACTGCACACTTCATTTTTCACTGGTTCTACTACAACATCCAGGAATCAACAGTACACTGTATCCCGATGCATTTACCAGTGACTTTACCTTACTTGCAGTAAAAGTGGAGGGTACACTCAGGAGTACTCGATTTGAGACACAGAGAGTGATTAGAACATGGCTTAACACCACATGATGCACTAAAATCCTCTACAGGAATCTTTCTGGAGAGCACAAGAACCAAAACACAGGCTAGATCACAATAATCATTCACACAATCTATAGTTCAAGTATTCAGACTACAGTGTGAGATTCATACAGTTAGAGATGCCTACAGATTATATAACAAAATGGTGTTTGATTTAGATTACATTTAAGGCAAAACAAAACTTTACAAGTCATATATTACAATATGTACCAATATATACTGACATACTGGACATGACTGTGTAGTATTTCATGTTCAGGAATCACTGTTTGGCGTTGAGGTTCAGGACAGTTTCCCCAAAGCACTGACCTCAATGTTCACCATGAAGTGTTGTGAAAAAGGGGCCATATTCTACATAGCTCTTGCTTCATTTTTTCCCCCGAAGTCCAGTTCTGAAGTTTGTGTGGATTAATGGACCAACAAGTCATAATTCATCTTGGCTAATCATTTTTAACTTCTCTTTATGGCTTAGAATTCAACAGGCGGTTTTGGTTACTGCGCCTTTAAGACTGATATATGTAAATGAGCTCTGTTCTGATTGGCAGACCTGTATTGTGCCTTGTTCAAATAAGCCCAGGGGTGTGAGGCTTGGGACAAAGACAAATTCAGCCTGAAGGCTGCAATGATTCTTTTGCTTCCCAGAAGCCGTGAAAAGCACAACGTTTAATCCTTTTCCCAAATCTTCCACTCTGTTACGGACTGCAGGAACAACACTCCACATCACTTCAACAGGGATGGGCAGAGCAACTCGGTGGACTGGAAATGTGTTCATGGTTGTGATGTCACAACCGTGATGAGTTCAAAACATTTTTGCATATATGGTCTGGGGATTCAATGAGCTTGTTTACATGCACTTAATAATCCGATAACTGCAGAAAAGCAGATTTTGTGTATCATCTGATCAACAGGTTTACATGCTCTTGAGTAATCAGATAATGGAGAAACTCCAGGTCAACATGAGTCAGACAGTAATCAGATTTCTGCTTTACAACCAGCCAATAAACTCACAGAAGAGGACGCGTCATAAACGTAACGTTAAACTAAAACTTCATGCCGCGGCTTTTTTTTTAAAACATCGCACCCCTTTACCTGAAAATGTGAACATACATCATCTAGAAGACGAAGAAAATTTAAAACCTTAATTTCGTCAAGGATGTATTTGGTTTCAGCCGCCGTCTGTTTTCACACATGCTCAGACTGAGAAATCCGAAAGAAATCAGAGTAAGAGTTCACATGCACTGAGAAATCTGATTACTGAGATAAAATCCAGCCTCTTCATCAGATTTCTTAATCTGATTTCTAGACTTTACTCTGATCTAAGAAACCGAAGTGGGCTGTTTACATGACCTTTCGAATAATCAGATAACTGCAGAAATCTGATTATGATCTAATTTTTGAGTGCATGTAAACACACTCAATGTTATATTTAACAGTTTTTACAAAGTGGATCAAGCTAATAAAAAAGCAAGGAAAATTCTTTTTCTATGATATGGCCCCTTTAAGGTGGTCTTAAGGTCACCATGCTTTGACGAAACTGACTCTAATCACAATTTCTCACTTAACCAGACACTGCCTGTTGCTCAAACGTGGCGTGGTAGTTATGAATAAAGTCAACTGTTAGTGATGGTTACTTGGCAGGAGAGGCAGTTTACCTCCATCATCTCTGGCAGATGGTTATGAGCTGAGTTGAGTCCCTTTCACTGTTGTACTTTCTGCAGCAGAGAATGCTCTGCTAGGTGTAGTGATATATACAGCCTGGTTCAGTCCTCCAATGAATTCTCCTGAATTACAACCCCTCACAGTGACCCTTTCTGATTCTCCTCTCTGACTGGAGGAGAGGGATCACATGACCCTGGGTCAGACCTCCGCTATAGAGTCAATGGGCTCCACCTGAGGTTCAGTAGGCGGGGTGGGGACTTCTTCTACTACTGCTGCCGATGCTGATTCAGGCTCCACCTCCGTCACCACCACCTCCACCTGCTGAAGTTAAGTGGATTCTTTAGGCAACTGGTGTAAAGAATAAGGGATACTGATAACACTATTGATTACATTAGTTATTGATGGATCTATTGATTATTTGACGGCTACGCTGAGCTTCTGAAAAGGCCAAACAATAAACATGGACTTGACAAAACCAAAGCATGCAGAGTCTTTTAAAGATGCCAAAGTATTTTCATGGAAAAGACTTGAACTTGGAAGCCTTCAGAAACAAAAACCTGAAAAAACCCACATATTGTTCTTTCTGGACTTGTAATGACATCATTGCTTTCACTCTGTACCGTATATCAATATATAATAAACTGTATATGAGCATCAATATTCTTCTCAGACCCTGCACATGTACAGATTCACATATTCCTTACTCTATTACACCTATATTTACAGTGATCTACAGTGTTTGCACTACATTGTTGCTTTTCTGCAGTGAGAGATGCTCAGAAATCTATCTATTGGGGTTGTCAGGTGACTTTTCAGCAGTGGTGGACAGTAACTAAGTAAATGTAATTCATTACTGTACTTAAGCAGTTTTTTTGTGTATCTGTACTTTACTGAAGTATTTACATTTTGGGCGACTTTTCACTTTCACTCCACTATATTATGTGAAATCTGTCGTTCCTTTTGGTTTATGTGTGTATAAAAACATAGCATGTCAAAATGAAGGAAGCCTGAAGCAAGAACACCAATCAGGGCACAGCGGCACTTTGTTTTGAGCTTGTTTTGACCTGTTGGTCATACCGACCCAGTGCAGCACACGGTTCAACATCAGTGCAGCAGCGTAAAATTTTGGGAGTGTCTAGTCAACATAAATGATGAACTAACCTAACTTTGTGTAAACAGACCACAATATAGAAATATGTACACATATGCAGTTGTGACTGACGTGACTTTTTTCTGAATTTATACAAACACGATTTCATTTTAGAGTAAATTAGTTTAGGCTAAGTTTATGTTTATGAACAGAGACCTACAGATGCAGTTTAGTAAAGGAAACTCATTTGTGAATCTGAGTTTAAAGTTTTTATTAAACTTAAACTTGTAACTAAGTTCAAATAAATCTTAAACTGAAACTTTGCTTGTTTGTAAAGTGATTTCAGAGCCACTCAGTTCTACCTGATGGAAACTGTTCGCCTTCAGTGTTTTGTTCTTATGATAATTTTAATAGACATCAGCGTCACTAATTAATGACATTCTATTAAAAGACTGGTTTACCAAGAGAGACTGGAGTATTTTCACCTAAAATGAGTTAATGAAGCGAATCTTGTTACAAAAATGATAATAGGACATTAGAGCCATAATTAATCTTTCAGTACTCTTACTTTCGATACTTAAGTACATTTGAGGGCAAATCCTTTTGTACTTTTACTCAAGTGGAGGTCTAAAGGGAGGAACTTCTACTTTTACTGGAGTAATATTTTACCTTGGGTCTCTCTACTTTAACTCAAGTACATGGTTTGTGTACTTCGTCCACCACTGACTTTCAGCTCTCTTATCCTGTTGGTCCTGTTGAGTGGATGTAAAAATGTCCAGACGTAACAGGACTAATGCTTAATCTGTTTACTCAGTTGGGTGTTAAACGTGTTTATTCATCAATGAAACACTCTCATTAGGGTAACATTCTTGGTGAAACAAAACTGATTCTGAATGATTCTCACAAGTCTACAGAGTAGCTTCAGGTCCTGGCCTAAGACTCAATCTTGGTTTTAGAGTTTCTAGAGAGATGTTTTCTGTAAAGTACAGCACTGAAGTCTGCAAACCTGAGCTGGAGCGATCTCAGGCGTGGGTGCAGCTGCAGGACGTTCCACACGCTGACCTCCAACTCCAAGCATCTATGGACAGAAAATCAGCCGTTAGCTCATGAAGGACACAAACATGGGCTTTAAAAATAGACAATGCTACAGAAAGCACTCAGTGCAATTCAACTGAAAGTACAAAATTTTCCACTTCATCCAGATGTAGTTAATCAGCCAAGACACGTTTGGTGTCCAAACTCTGCTTCTTTAGTTGTGCAGAATTCCGACTCCCATTCGAGTGCACGCACTTCACACACATTACCTCACGTTACAGACCACACCCACAACTCCTGTTGTTTTACTTACATGCATATAGCCATGTGCAAATGTTTGGGAACCCCTGGTCAAATGACATCTTGATTTTCTAAGTGAAAATAAGTTAATGCACACTCTACATGGAAGGAACCTAAGTGTGGCATTTTTCTGCAAATGTTAGTGCACACTTTCTATTTCTTTGCCGAATTTAACATGTTGGAAAAAAATAAAACATTATACCAAATGTAATGTGTATGTCTGTCTGTCTGCCCTGTGATGGACTGGCGACCTGTCCAGGGTGTATCCTGCTTTCCGCCCAATGACAGCTGGGATAGGCTCCAGCACCCCACCGCGACCCAGAAGGATAAGCGGTTTAGATGATGTATGTATGTATGTATGTATACCAAATGTGCCATAAGATTTCTGCAAATAAACATTTATTCATTCAACATCTTTAACCACTTAACCCAGGCAGGGTCGCGGTAGCAGCTGGGAGAGCAGAGAAGCCCAGATGACCCTGTCCACAGCAACTTCCTCCAGCTCATTCCAGTGGACCCCAAGCCGCTCCCAGGCCATCTGGGAGATGTAATCCCTCCAGCGGGTCCTAAGACGACCTTGGGGTCTCGTCCCAGTAGGCCGTGCCTGGTAACCCCCCACTTTAAGGCATCCAGATCAGACACCTGAACCACCTCAACTGGCTCCTCTCAATGTGGAGGAGTAGCAGCTCTACTCTGAGCTCCTCCCGGATGACCGAGCTCCTCACCCTGTCAGTGGAGTGTATCTCGCCACCCTGCGAAGAGGCTCATTATCGCCGCTTGTATCTGTGATCTCATTCTTTCAGTCGTTACCCACAGCTCATGACCACAGGTGAGGGTGGGGATGTAGACTGACCGGTAAACAGAGAGCTTTGCCTTCTGGCTCAGCTCCCTCTTCACCACTACAGTCCGGTACAGTGACCGCATTACTGCTACTGCCTGTCCCAGCATGCAGCCGATCACACCATCCCTCTGCCCATCACTCGTGACCAAGACCCCGAGATGCTTGAACTCCTCCACCTGGGCAGGTCCTCTGCCCTTACCTGGAGGGGGAATGCCATCCTTTTCTGGGCCAGTAAACAGTAGTTGTGCATTAAAATGTGCAGAAGTGTGTCTCTGTAGAGGATGTGTTCACATATTTACACTTAGAAAATCAACAATACCTGGAATTGGACCAGAGGTGGTCAAACTTTTGCATATGATTGTACATCTTCAGTTAGAAAATTCAAGATTAACAGTTATTTACATAAAAATACAACAGAAATTGTGAATGTAATAACGCGCATGCACCCAAACGAGAGTCGGCCCTGCATTTTTATAGCTCACAGTAAGTCATACTATTTCTTTGACCTCAGTGAAAGATGGATGCAGTTTTAGCAGGTTGAGGGAAGCTTTAGGGATATATTACATTTTACACAAAAAAAAATTTGGGTGACTATTGACACCCATTCTAGTGTCTCTTAGCAATGTTAGCTTCCAGCACTAAACTAAAGAAGCACAATTTGAAGACCTAACATATTTTGGCTGATCTAGGATAAGTGTAAAATAGTATAAAATAGATTTACTAATCTACTAATTACTTACAGTTACAGGATTAACATCATACGAGAATCATTTAGTACATGTGTCTGCATCCAAACTGGCTTTATATTGCTGAAAACTTTAGTTCCACACGTCTGAATAGTTTTGAATTTTCATTAATCGTTGCTGACCTGCAGGCCACCTTTAGCCAGAACTTTGAGTCCAAAGAGAATCGTCACAATGCAGATCACCAGCTCCACCACCAGGAACAGCACCAGCGTGGCCAGCAAGCCGTCAATCAAGAGCTAAACCCGCCGACAGATGGAAAGAGCAGAGGCCTGATCAGGAAAATACACTTAAATAACACTGTTATTCCTCAGTCACAACACAAACATGACGTGAAGTCAAATATCCACAAATTAGATTTAAATACAGTGCTAGCTCATTCACTGACCTATAGTGATGACCAATCACAACCATAAAAGCATTCACATCATGTCAATGACCATTTACGCACCTGTTTGACCGAGGCTTTGCTAAGTATACACATACAAACAGTACAATCAGAGACCTCCCTTCATTTATTTCCAGTTAAAACAGCCATTAAGCACAAGTTACTCGTTTTTCGGGATCAGTAAGAAAGCAGAAAACATATTTAACAGAAAATGACACAGAAACCTCAACAATTAAATACAATATTCTTTTCAGTGTTTACTGTGTCCATTTTTTACCTTTATTCCAGCTTCCATTCTTTTCAGGAGACTCACTTTCAGTTCCTCAAAGAATCTGCAGACACACCTCCAAAGTTCAGTCTTAGAAGCTGGTTGATCATTTTCTGAAGTAATCAAACACATTCAGTGGCGTTGAGGTCTGGACTCTGGGCCGGTCAGTCCATCGTTCAGCTTCTTTGTTTGATGTGTCCGTCTCCTTTTCTCAGTGAGGTTCTTCTTGATCAGCTACACATCCTTTCAGACCCACAGCACTGAGTCGTCTTCTCACAGTGGAAGGATGGACAGAAACACCTGTGGATGTTTTCAGATCTGAAGCAGCTTGATTTTCTCCTCTCTCTCAAAGATGAAAGCTTTAAGTGCTGTTTATCTGATGGGGGCAGTTTTGGTGTCTACCAGGTCTTCCAGGTGGCTGTTAGGAGCCTCATTTTCTCTGTAGCTTTTAATCATTTTTGAACTCCAGTTTGGAAACTCCTGGTTTTTCACCGTTGACTTTCTTCCTCTATTATGCAGGTGGATTATCCCGTGTCTTATCTGTACATCTTCAAGGTGCACATGAGAGAGAAATGTCTGAGGCAGCTGAGGCGAGTTTAGGGAGTTTGTGTGAATGTTAGTGTCTCTTTGGAGACACTGATGTTGGACGAGAGGGCCTGGCTTGCAATCTCAGTTCTAGTTCATCCCAAAGGTGTTCTATGGGGTTGAGGTCAGGGCTCTGTGAGGGCCAGTCAAGTTCTTCCACACCAAACTCACCCAGTCAGGCCTTTATGGAGCTGCTTTGGTCACTGGGGCTCAGTCATGCTGGAACAGGAAAGGTTCTTCCCCAAACTGTTCCCACAAAGTTGGCAGCATAGAATTGTCCAAACTGTCTTGGTGCTGAAGCATTAAGATTCCCCCTCACTGGAACTAAGGGTTCTAGACCAACCCCTGAAAACAACCCCATATCATCATCCCTCCTCCACCAAACTCTACAGCTGGCACAGCGCAGTCAGGCAGGTAACGTTCTCCTGGCATTCGCCAAACCCAGACTCGTCCATCAGACTGACAGATAGAGAAGCTGATTCATCACTCCAGAGAACACGTTTCGACTGCTCCAGAGTCCAGCGGCAGCGCTTTACTCCACTCCATCCGACGCCTGGCTTTGTGCATTTTGATCTGAGGCTTGTGTGCCGCTGCTCGGCCAAGGAAACCCATTTTGCGAAGCTCCTAAGGCGCAGCTCTTTTGCTGATGTTCATTCAACAGAGGATAGGCACTGTGCACTTCAGCGCTCGCCGGCCCCCTCTGTGAGTTTGCGTGGTCTACCGCTTTGTGACTGAGCTGTTGTTGCTCCTAGATGCTTCCATTTCACACTAATAGCACTTACAGTTGACGGGCAGATCTAGCAGGACAGAAATTTCACACACTGACTCGTGGCAGAGGTGGCATCCTATAACAGAGCCACGTTTAAAGTCACTGAGCTCATCAGTACGACCGCCTACTGCGAGTGTTGGTCTATGAAGACTGCAAGGCTATGCGATTAATTTTATCCACCTGTTAGTAATGGGTGTGGCTGAAACACCTGAACTCAATAATTAGGTGGGTTGTCCCAATACTTTTGGTCATATAGTGTGTAAGTGTGTAAGTGTGTGTAAAAACTCCATTCTATATCAAGCACACATAGGTCTTTACCATGTTCAAATTATGTTTCAAAATCCAGATCTTTTTGTTCTTTATTATTATTATTATTATTATTATTATTATTTTCAGCAGTAGTAGTCCAGGGGATGTAGTAGTCCACACCCTCAGCACTACCATTTTCTGTGTCCCTGGTTCAGATGAAAAAAAAAAAATAATAATAATAACTACAATAAAATAAACAACACTTCCCTATCAGTGGGTTATGGGGAAGCCAAAGCTATACGAGTTGTGACCCATGAAATCAGAGATGGAAACATGTCAAATACAACTTTTTTCATTGCTAAACTGAAACTTATGCAACAGCAGCTTTTCGCAGGACATAAAGTCATTCCATAATATATTTTTTACTGCTAAATGTCAGTTTGGGGGAACAAGCTGGGCAGCTAACCTTTTTTTTTTAACCCAGTTTCATTTTATCGCTTGCAACGTGTGCAGAAAGTGGATGGGAGCAGCTTTTGTTGTGAAAACGCAGCTGTAAATGGCTGGTTTAAAACAGTAAGGATGGCAAAAGGTGCACAAATTGGACAAATTAATTATTGATTTAATATATTTAGTTGTTTCTGTGTAATTCTGTGTTAACTATGTGTTCTCTGCTTTCTTTCCTGGCACTGAAAAATAAATAACGTTTACATAAAGGCCGTTTTGACTGGAAATGCAATAAATGAAAAGGTCTCTGACAGTACTGGGGACATTTTGTGCAGTTTTTAAAACACAGGCCCAAAGTGCAAAACCAGAAACACGACAGCAACACAACATCAGTTAAACGCTGAGAGCTTCATCAGCTTGACTCTCTGTTCTAATGTTGTAAAGATAAACAAAGAATTTCAGCAAATACAGCACATAACTTGAGCGAACATATTATTAGAAATATACTAAGATACAGACACTGATGAAGCTAAATAAAACACGGCACACTGAATTTACTGCACACTCAAAATACTGAGGCAGCTGAACCATAAACTGTGCTTCCAGTGTGTGAAACTGAACTTGCACATCCACTTTAACTCAGTACTTTCCTATTTAGGCTGTTAAGCAGCTTTTCATGCATTACAGAGCCTAAAACACAAGAGCAGGTTTTACTTACTTTACAGTTTCTTTCGACCGTGTAAGTGCATTTCTTGAAACAATACTGTTGCTTTGGGAGAGCAGACACAAGAGACAGAGTCGAGTTAAATTTTGCAAAAAAGACCGAAGACATTTGCAAAATTTAACTCTCAACTAAATTCCTGACTGACAAACCAGATCTCTGTACAAACTGTTACAGTTTTTTAGAATTGCTTGTCAAACTAGTCGTTTTCTCTCCAGCATCAAAAAACCTGTACCAAGTGCAAACTGTCAGTACTGTACCTGAGATTATTACTTCAAAATGACAAGTTTACAGTAGAAAACGTGCATAAAAAGGAGGAGGAGGTCAAATAGAGGTGGTCAAATAAAGCAACGAGTAAATAGATTCAAAACGTAAAGCAAAATAAACACGTTTGACAAGGAAAGTGGTTCACAGCTTTAATTCAGGGCGAAACTGTGTTCCTGAACATTCCCAACCCTGTTTGTTGCCTGCGAGAAAGTTTTGGCACTCTGCCTCCTCTGCCTCGTCTCTTGTCCTTCAGAAAAGGCACACCAGAGCAGAGGCCACTCAGGTCCAGACCAGTCCTCTCAGACCCCGTTTACACCCACTTGCTTCATGCGACTGTTTCTGGATTATAACTTGTAAGTTCTCAGCTGTGGGATGTGCTAGAACAACAAGTTCGATCCATCGCTGCTCCGCCTCCCAAATTACAGGATCTGCTGCTGAAATCTTGGTGCCAGATACCACAGGGCACCTTCAGAGGTCTTGGAGAGTCTCTGCATCGGCAGGTCGGAGCTGTTTTCGTGGCACACGGAGGACCGATAGCATATTAGGCAGGTGGTCATAATGTTTCGGCTCATCGCTGTATAATGTAGTCCAAAAAATGTAAACAAACCTAAAACCAGCCTGCTCTATAACATACACTGATCAGGCATAACATTCTGACCACCTCCTTGTTTCTACACTCACTGTCCATTTTATCAGCTCCACTTACTATATAGGTGCACTTTGTAGTTCTACAGTTACAGACTGTAGTCCATCTGTTTCTCTGATACTTTGTTAGCCCCCTTTTACCCTGTTCTTCAGTGGTCAGGACCCCCATGGACCCTCACAGAGCAGGTACTATTTGGATGCTATTTGGATGCTGCAGTAACACTGATGTGGTGGTGGTGTGTTAGTGTGTGTTGTGCTGGTACGAGTGGATCAGACGCAGCAGTGCTGCTGGAGTTTTGAAACACTGTGTCCGCTCACTGTCCACTCTATTAGACACTCCTACCTTGTCAGTCCACCTTGTAGATGTAAAGTCAGAGACGATAGCTCATCTGCTGCTGCACAGTTTGTGTTGGTCATCCTCTAGTCCTTCATCAGTGGTCACAGGACGCTGCCCACAGGACGCTGTTGGCTGGATATTTTTGGTTGGTGGACTATTCTCAGTCCAGCAGTGACACTGAGGTGTTTAAAAACTCCAGCAGCACTGCTGTGTCTGATCCACTCAGACCAGCACAACACACACTAACACACCACCACCACATCAGTGTTACTGCAGCATCCAAATAGCATCCAAATAGTACCTGCTCTGTGAGGGTCCATGGGGGTCCTGACCACTGAAGAACAGGGTAAAAGGGGGCTAACAAAGTATCAGAGAAACAGATGGACTACAGTCTGTAACTGTAGAACTATAAAGTGCACCTATATAGTAAGTGGAGCTGATAAAATGGACAATGAGGTGGTCATAATGTTACACCTGATCGGTGTACATTTCAAAATGCCCAGTCGAGCCCACCAAAGTCTGATAAAGCCCAAAAGCTGCTCTCTTCAAGAGTGATTTACTAGATCTAATGAAGTGATCAGTCATGTAAATATCTTCAGTATAACCTCAGTGTTCAGAGAGCTGCTTGTGTCCTTTTTCACTTGCATGCTTTTGCAAACGGTTTCGTTTTGCACTTTGGTACAGTGCTTTGAAAATGCATCACTGCAATTGTATCAAAAAACTGTAACAGAACATTTGATGCAACCATGAGATCATTTTTTTAATTCTGATGTCAAATGTCACCCCATTCTGATCAAGTTCTTTCTATAAACACTGTAAATCACATCTGAAATCACTATAAATCGAACTGAATGTAAAACATGCACAACAGTCTTGATTTCCACAAAGATGTCTGGATATGTTTCCCCTTAGAGCCCACTGGAACAGAATACCATTCTGACTAGAAGTGTTCAGTTAAAGTGCGATCTGTGTACAATCTCTATATACCACATTGGCAAGGACAATAATTCTGACATGTTTTGCTATATTTATGAAAGAACAGAAACTGTATTGACCCAAAACATGCTTATAACAGAAGCCAGTGGACAGTTCTGTAAATAACTGACTGAATATAGTGCAAATTCAAATCTATGGCTGTACAGTAAGAGTACAGAGAGAGAGAATATCTTGCTAGAGCTGTTCTTGTGGTGAACACCTCCCCAATTTTAGAGCAACCGAGTAAAAAATCAGTTCCGAGGTCGGATTCATGAAAGCTTTCTGAAGAACCAACTTGCAAAGGTTTTTAAGAGAAACACTAAGAAAGTTCATAAGAAATGCAATTCGTGAAAAAAAATATAAGAAGTTCTCAATTTTCTAAAGATAATCTTAATAATTTTCTTATGATTTTCTTGAGAAAATCTTTATTGTTTTCTTATGTCAGCTACGCTGCGGTTTACCACGTACCATAAACAACGCGAGATAAACTATGAACCTGTATTCACTGTAATTTCCGTTATTTAGTTTAATCCACTCAGAGGAGCAAAATGGAGGAAAAACATCAAACCAAGCGTTTTATGAAACAAGATCTAGAGCTGATGGTGGAAGAAACAGCCAACAGGAAAAACATCCTCACTGGAAAATATGATGATTATGGGTGACAGCCGAGGACAGGCAGGACCAGCAGAGGCAGCGTCCGTGATCAATTTAGATGCTCACCTTGTCGACTCTTACAGCCTGAGACAGTGTGAGTCTGTCGTAAGGTTAAGAAAACATTTAAGAACATAACGTTTTCAAGAAAACCACTTGTTCTTAGAATTATTCTTAAGAAAAAGAGTTAAGAAAAGAAAATAAGATCATTCTTAAGACGTTATTTGAAGAGTAACAATTTCTCGTAACTTTTTTCTTAAGAATGAAGAACTTTTAAGAAGAATTTCTTTCTTAAGGCACTTTCACGAATCCGGGCCCGGGTTACTTTTGGTTTTATGGTAACCATAGAGATCAGACGAAGCTTGTGAGAACTCCGCCCACACAACTACACTCGCAATGAATTAGCACGAAATTCTCTCAGGAAAACTCTGAAAGAATGAATAATATGGATTTCCATCTTAATTTACAATTATCTCTGAATGAAAAACTGAAGGAAAGGTGTTTCTACAAAAATAGGTTTCACATAAACATTTACTAATAGAATTAGCTTCTATTAGAAGTGTGTTTCAGGTCATTGGGTTTTCTGTTCTTTACAGAAAACAGGGAAATGTTTAACGGGAAAATTTAACGGTAATCCACCACATGATACAGACGCAGCAGTTAGAGATCAGGATCAAAACATAAGACAGTTTTCTTAATGTTTTAAGTCATGTGGTCGGAAAGTCATCAGGAAATCAAGACAATGTGGACAATTCAGCAGTCATATGCAAAATAAGGGATTATAAGAAGCCAGATGTTCACCGATCTGTGATTAGGTATTAGTTTGATTATCAGGCTGAACTCATGCAGACACTCCATGAGAAGGTCATTAAACCAGGATTACTGGAGAGTAGAAAAGCTGTGATGTGCTTATCTGTCTGTGGTCTAATGCTGCATTTACACTGGTGTCAGGTCCCATTCACTTTCTATGGGAAGCGCTGTGGAAGTGACAATGACCTCTGCCCCTCAAAGTCCAGTTTTAACCTATTCAACATCTGGAAAAACATTCATATTTATACAGCAGCACTGGGAATAGCTCCGGGGCCAGGGGAGAGGGTGAGCACTCCCCTGAAATGAGACCATGGATGATGAGAGGGATGAGAAGCACTTAGTGAGAGTCAGGCTGCCAGACTTCAGTCGTGGCAAAACCAGAGAGGCTAAGGCTGACAATTATGTATGTGTATATATTTTAATTTTAGTAAATGCAGTTGTTCAGTGCCCGGGCCAATTCCAATGCTTTTTGGTTACACTGTCTGTGTTTATATGCAAAGATTTTTGCCAATCTGATTGAATACATGCAATCAGATCCAAAATTACGCTCATGCATAGAGAACCGCTTAGTGTAGACGTTACCATGACAACCAGCATCATGTGAGTCCAGTCAGAGTGAGATGAGCAGCAGTCAGCAGCGCTTGTGTTTTTAATCACTTTAAAATGATGTCAGACTCAGGAAAACGTCCTTCACATGTCCTTATTAAAGAAGGCCGAGAGGAAGACGTCGTGTTCTGAGACACATAAGTTGGACGTCCGTCCCACCGCCGTCTTTTAAAGATCAGAGCATAAACTTCGTCTCCTCTGCAGACCAGTTTCTTCTCCGCCATGTTGAACGGTATAAACTTTCACTATGACGTGACGAACATGATCAGAACGGACTTAAACTTTCCGATAGGGAATGTAATCAGATACAGGCGTTTACACGGATATTATTCTTCTATTTAACGGATTATTTACAGGATTACCCACCTCGATCATTCGGACAGAAACTGTATTCCGAATGGCCTCAACTGGACTAGTCTAGTACGACTGAGGTGTTTATATGGACAATACATATACATGCTATATACATACGTATATATATATACATGCTATATACATATATATATATATATATATATATATATATATATATATATATATATATACATACACACATACATATATATATATGTATGGATGTTGTCAGAAAAAAACCTTATATCTCCATTTTTTGTATATAGTATGACCTTTTTCTCTTTACCACATCAATACACAGCTCCATTCTGTATTTTCTGGCATTTTTCAAGTTTTAAAACAGTTTAACTAATTTGACATCCTATTTCACATGATATTTTCAGTTGAGATGCAGCCACCTTGCAATTGAAAGCCCTGTCCCACGAGGGGCAACATGATCACCCCAGCACAAAGCTTAGAACGTGACCTAGACACCTAAAAACCGGACAACGGTGCCACATGGCTCAAAACCGGGCTTTCTGGCAACCCTAAGCAGGAGATGGAGCTTTAGTGCAGTGGGGCTGCCAGGTACACCAAGCAATTCCACAAAAATATGCTGATAACAAACACTGTTAGTGTATTTCAGGTGAGTAAATCACCTGTTTATCCCAGTGTGTCAACTCAAGCTCTCAGTAACAAAACAAAGCTCTGCAAAACCCTGTGATAATTCATCTCTGTTCATTTTGGTTGGGCTCAGGCTTCAATATCATGCTCTTGCAGATCTCTAATACACACTACGTTGATTTTATGCTTAAGCATTTAATTCATAAACGTTAACTTAGCAAGAATTTTTCAAGATTTTGCAAGAAACGCCCTCGTAACACCCCCACGCAGCCCACTGAAGAGGGGGAGATTCACGGCCTGGACCAATGTAAATGCAGCATAATACTAAGCATCACCATCAGTGAGTTGCAGAACAGACTTTGCTTTTACTCGTACAGTAACGAAGAGCATTCCACTCCAAAAGCTTGTTAGCTGCCTTTTAATTAGTGTACTTTTGTCATTGGCTGGTCATGCAGACTGAAATGCTCTCCTGCCCCTTTCATGCAGCCACTGAGCAGTGAAAAGAGCAGCGTGTGTGTTCTGTATGTTTTACCACAGCGTATATCTCCAGTCTGCGGCAGTGTTCGCAGTGGTAGGAGTCCTGGCGGTAGGGCAGGTGTCGGGACAGGAGGCCCAGCATCGCCGTGGCGAATGCAGCGCTCACCAGGTGGACCACCAGCGTGGTTTTAACCTTTACACAGAGAAAAAAGCAGTGAATGCACCAGCATGAAGACATGGAGACTAAATTAACAAAGCTTTAGGTTTAACCCCATAAAATCTCAGGCTAATTACCTACCAAGGTTTATTGTTCAGTAACTACATGGACTTCAATGCAAACTGGCTATAGAACACTTTGGACTTTCTGGTGGGTAATCACACCCAGGGCAGAGCAGTATGATGGTGTTATTGTTATCATGATGAACTACCTCACTATATGCTGTTGTGATGTATGTGATGGGGACTGCGTTCATTTAGAGATTTCACTTATCATAGAAAAACTGTAAACAACAACCAGTTGTGTCATAATGTCAAATTACAGCTGCACAGTAACAAGGACCTGATTGGATGTCCCTCCATTATCAATCAACCAATCGCCCTTTATTTAAACTCAGAATACATTGATTGAGACCCTCATTTATCATGTAGCCGAGCAATACAGAAATCAGGGATTGAGAAGCTGGATAGTAAAAATAAATCAAATGTTATAACAAAAAGATAAAAATCATAATAGTAAATAATAAGAAGGTACCAATAAATCGTCAAATCAATAAACCCTTAAAATTACAATATAGTAACTTAACAAGTAACAGATCAGATAAATTAATGAAATTCATCAAATAAAAGAAATAGAAGATGTAAGACAATAAATTGACTGAAATAAACAAAAAGAATAAAATAAATAAAAAGAATACTAATGAAAAAAATGAAAGGAATAAAAAGAATGATAAAAAGTAAAGAAGTAAAAAGTAAAAAAGTAAAAAAGTTAAAAGTGCAATTCTCTTGTTCCATATCATGCTGAATGTTTTCTTTGGAACTGCTTTGCTGGTTTGTCATGTCCATTCCAATTATCTGCAAACAAAATATTACAGACAGTCGTATCCAAAAGTTTGAACACCTGTGGTCAAATGACATGTTACTGAAGTGAAAATAAGTGAACACATCCCCTACAGAAAACTAACTTAAATATAGCATTTCCTTGCTAATTTTAGTGCACAATTTCTATTTATTTTCTTAATAAAAAGTAAAACACGAAATGTGTGTGCCATAACTTTTGCACAGGCCACATTTTATGTTCTTTTTCTCCAACTTATTAAATTCAGCAATTGTGCATTAAAATGTGCAGTAGTGTGTCTCTTTAGAGGAGGTGTAACTTATTTCCACTCAGAAAATCAACAAAAACATGGAATTTGACCAGGGGCGCAGAAACTTCTGCACAGGATTGTATATTCGTGTTTTGCATGCTAAAAATCTCTTCAAGTATCCCAAAATTAAATATGTGCTCCACTGAAAGTTGTTTTGAGATTAACACTAGGCTTAATCCAAGTAGAGATGAGCAATACGATGATGTCTGAAGGGTTTCGTTCCAAAATGCATTATAGAAAAGGAATTTTCTTTTGTTTGATATAAGTTGTTGGGAGTCGGCGTCAAACACACACAAAGAAATATAAAAGCTATATTATCATTAATACCATCTTTATTAGAGAAATAATTTTTTTATAAATGGATGTACAGCGTTTTGGGATGAAACACATCATATATCCTTGTTGTGATGAATTACATCATAATATGTCACCGACTGTTTTTCTGAGTGTACTGTGGGTGTCGTCAGCACCTAATAAACACTGAAGACCTGCATATTTCATTAAAGAGAGAGCATAATTAGTCCTGTTAAACTGGATTTAGTACTGCAGTCAAACCAGCTGAACTTTTTGTGACTCACCCAAAATAAAGAGGGAAACCTTCCAGCATGGATCAGGATGGAGCCGGACGCCAACAGCTGCAGAAACAGATCAGAGGGGGTCATCTCAGCACTGCATGGGTTACTGCATTGTTATTGTCTGTTTCTAAACAGCATTCAGTGATGTGAACTGCCCAGCACAGCGGTTCCCAAACTTTTACAACATGAAAATATTTAACATTTAACTGACCCAATCATTTAAAATGCAAAATGAATATAACACAATAAATGTAGCCTATCAAATATTTGCATGACTGTACAATAAAACAACATAATAAACGCCAAAAAGGTTCCTTTAAGGTACATATACAACGGGTTTTCCATCATTTCCATTATGCAATGAATTCTTTGAGTGTTCATGGTTCAATATAGAACCATTATCTTTACTGCAGAACCCTTGAAGAACCATTTTTTAAAGAGTGTAACCATTTATCCATGATGGACGAATTCCAATCAATCTAACGGTTTCCACTGACTTGCACTCAAAATATAAACTTAACTAGCAAGTTATGAAAGTTACTTCAGCCATGCATTTTGCCAAACCAACCAATGAGCTCAACCTAATTCTGTTTATTTTTGCATATAATTATCTCTACAGCAATTTGTCATATTTAAAATGATGTGTGGTTAAATGTCTATTTGTTGTGCTCATATTTACAATTAAAAAAGGGAGCACTTTATTTGGACAGTCCACTTTAGATGCTTTAAAGATACTTAATTTACCTTCAAGTTACATTCAGCTAAATATCTACTAAACTGACCATCATTTTCTTTAACTCTAAACCTGCTCTAATCCTAACCCTCACCCTGGTCCTAGCCCTAACCCTGGTCCGAATCCTAACCCCAACCCCACCACTGTTTAGAGTTTCAACAGATAGTTTGTTAACAGTTTGAATATCTGTAGATAATCTATAGGGGACTATAGTGGACTATCCAAATAAAGTGAGACCAAAAATGCAAATAACCCCCTGGCAGTACCACAACAGCCCACTAGGTGGGGCGCAGCTCACAGAAACCCCCGGCCTAACAGTTTTACACTGTTCTAGCAGTTTGTAGACCTGTTTGTATTAAGCGCCATGCTGCTAATGACCTGAACAGCTGGTGAAAGACCTGTGCATTTAAGGGTCAGTGTCTGATTAATATCGTGTCTGCGTGGGTTTCCTCCCCACCGCGACCCAGAAGGATAAGCGGTTTAGAGGATGTGTGTGTGTGTGTGTGTGTCTGATTAATATATAGTGAAGACTGGCTAACAGATAAAGAGATCACCTGCACTACGATCACTACCACCACGATGACGTCAGGAGTGAAGTGGACCTCGTAGTAGATCTGGAGGATGGAGACACTCAGGCACAGACACAGAACTGCGATGATTATCTGGATTGACTGAAAGACAGAAAAGAAAACACAAATTCTTTTTATTGCTGCTCTTCAGAATGTAAAAAAGTCCTTTATTCTCTCAGAGAGAGATATTTACACTAGTAAAAGGGCCCAGGGCATTCACTTTAATCCGCCTAGTCAGCCCACAGCAGTGTAGCTCCGCCCACTCTCACTGAAGTTACAAGGAGTGTTTCAGCCCAGATTGCTTTTTTTTGAATGAGGCACAATACAGGACAGCCAATCAAATCAGAGCTCATTTACATATATCAGTCCTAAAGGCAGAGTAACAAAGACATCCTGTTTAATTCTAAGGCATAAAGAGAGAAATAAAATTGGCCACGTAAAAATGAATTACGACAGTTTTTGATACGTATAACCACACAAATATCAAAAGAAATCCAAGAAAAATGTAGGATATGGGCACTTTAAAGTAGAGCTATAGAACAGAAGAGACCCCCCCCTCCTGTTCATTTCTGGGTAATAATAATAATAATAATAATAATAATAATAGTAATAATAGTAATAATAATAATAATAATAATAATAATAATGATAACAATAAGTAGTATGTGTATCCATCTCTGACATCAAAATTATCAAAGGAAATGATTAATTTCCTTTAAACTTGACGCTCTAAGCAGCAATTCAGTGCTTCATGAAATCTCAAATTTCACCACAATTCCATTTAAATTTTTTTAATTATATCTAAAATTTGCTGAAAATACAGAAGTGACTTGAGGAACTATTAACACAGTAGTTGAAGTTTACATAATAAAAACCAATAAAACTACTAAACTTCTTTCCCCTTTTTTAACATAAAAATATGTACAGACTTAAAGTACCCCTAAAGTGATACTTTAAAACATAAAAATAAAAAAAAAATCTATGTTGAATAATACATACACCAGTATTTTTATGTATTATTGTTATGTCCAAGAAACTATTATAAAAGAAACTAAACCCCACCCTCCCCCCACTACCCTGCACGCTGTCTCTGTTACAGACAGATAAGAGCAGAAACTAAAATAAGCTCCACTGTAACTTTAATAATCAGAAACATTCTGTCTTTGTCACTCCATCCCCAGTCTCTTGACTTCACTCGATCAGATTTGAGTTTTTATCCTCTAAACTTGCCTCAGTGGGCCGGAACTGCTGGTAGTTTCAGCCTGGCCGCTTCCTATTTCCTCCATTATATCAAAAACATGACTGCGAAACAGCAGAGGGTGCCCGTGAACGAGTCCTCAATGAATGGGGGTGAATGGAGCTAAACGGCTAAAAAGGAAAAGTTAAAATAGTTTCTAATCACTGAACCAGAACTTTCCTTTAACTTTAGAAAGTAGAAGGATGTGTTTCACTAAAAAAGCAAAGAAAACTCACCTGTATGTTTCCTTTTTCTACAGCAAACGTCATGAATTTACATGAGGCGCCGTTATAAACTCGAGTTAAAAGCTCTCAAAAATGTAACAGCGGTGTTAAAATGTTTGATGCTGTTCTGTGTTTAGAAAATGAATGTAGTCTTTTATATTAAAAATGTTTAAGCGTTTATGTACTACGTTTTTTTTTGGACTCGCTCTGGAGCGCCCCCTAGCGTTTGAGAAACCTGAAAGACATTACAGAGTGGTCATTCTCCTCTCTACAAGTTCTCTGGTTTGGCCTTCTCGCTAGGCTAACGTGGCACTAACAAGGACATTACCTGAAGCAGCTAAACTGACAGCTGCACACATAAAAACACAGCTCAGATTTGAGTGTTTGTTCTCTAAACTTGTGTCAGTGAAACTTTAGTGAGCTGAATAAACCTGGGCTGTGCTGAAACTAGCTACTGCAGGAGAACGCTACCTGCCACTAGAACAGCTGGACGCTATGTTTGAAGTAGAATATAAATTTGACACAATCGTAATTTAATAATAATTCAACGCGTCATAAAAGCAACATCATACTGCACAGTCCAACTGTTTCAACTCAGTTAGCTACATCAGCGCAGGCACATTCTGCAGCTGTAAGCAAGTCTCCTGTCATGTTGTTGTACTCCTCATTAGCATATTTTAGTATAACGGACCATGATGCGGTCAAGCTTTTCGTGATGTACAAAGTTGGGCTGCTACTTAGCAAATCACTTTTTTTTGGATGTACTGAGAAAGTCTGTGTTTTAAATGGAAAAAGTGAACTCTGCCTAACATACTTAATACATAAATTAGTCTACATAATACTAAGGCCCAGTCCCATTTCTTATTTTCACTCCTACCCCTTGTTTTCGAGTGTCTCCTTGCCCCTTGGAACTGAGTTACATGGTAGTGGTTGAAATCTTCCCTCTGAAATGGGACCCTCAAATAAAAAGAGCATCACTTCATTAACAGCTACCAGCGCTGCTCTGTAGGCGACCCTGCCAGTCTGCAGTGACAGCAGAGGAGGGTAAAGTTCAGCTCCTCACTGCTGGGCTTTAGTTACATTTAGGGAATCATATGCCTTCAAAGGGGGGGGCAATTATTTATTATCACCCACCCCTAATTCTTCAGTGATATGAAGCTGAAGTCAGATATTCACCAGATTCTCGTTCGAATTTTCCCGTTCCACCTTAAATGGAGCAGCAGTTACATTCTGGCACTTCAGGCATCAGAACTGCTGGACTATTTAAGGTGGAATGGGAAATTTAGCTAGTTAGCTAACAAAACATTAGCATGCTATTAGCGATTTTTTAATGTTTGTTATGAGGAAAAAGACCAAAACACATTCAAACGACATTAAACTAAGAAAATATGATGGTTATCGTAATTTTTTTTTAACAGAGAAAAATCTCACTTTTGTGGGCTTCTTTGGTCTCTTGTTCAGCCATCTTGCTGTTTTTTTCTTTTTTTTTCATATCACTCTGTTTGGAGTCTCTGAAAAACCTCCATTTGGAGGGTCATGTAGCTCTAACACTTCAACCTCCCCCTCTATCTCAACAAGAATCGGGACACCCTACCCCTAAGCTTGAACGCGCAAAACAGAGGGCTAAGGGCTAAGTGGTAGGGGCGAGGGGTGAAATGGGATTGGACCTAAAAAGCCATCTAAGAGGAGTTAACCATTTTAAAACACATTCTTGAGTGCAGGTGCCTTTAATTGAACATTAAAACTTTACAAATTCATGCTTTTTACATTGTTAATTATTCTTACTAACTTATGTTTATTACAGGAAATGACTGGCCATTATGCATTATAAGACAACGTAGTTGGCGTGAAGTCTCCTCAGATGCTGCCAGTCTTAATATTAATGTTATCCATGTTGTATCTGGTGTTAATGTGTTGCTGAGTGCTGTGACTCACCCCCAGGGCCTTCGGCTCCATCTTCTGGAAGGTTTTCACCTGCTGGGCAGTCAGGTTTCCTGCAGGGGGCGTCGGACCTTGACTCTCGATCCCCATTCTTCTGACTGGTATCAAACAGCGGGACTATGCAAAATGGATGGTGGTCTGAGATAATGGATGTGGTGTGGAGTGCAGCAAGTATGGTGAGGAGGAGAAGGATGAGGATAAGGGAGGGACAGAGAGATGGAGAGAGGTGGAGGGAAGGAAAAATGAAGGGAAGAACTCTGGATGAAGGAAAATGAGCGGCACTGGGCAAGAGGAACGTGAAGGGGGAAAGACATAAAAGCATAAGAACAACATTAAAACACTATTATTCTTCCTTTAAGGGGAAAAATGTATAGGTCATAATAACGAAAGTGCACCGCACTGCGACTGTTCTACACCAGCTGGCCAATTTAGGCCCAATCCCATTTTACCCCTCGCCCCTACCACTCAGCCCTTACCCCTCTGTTTTGCGCGTTCACGTCTAGGGGTAGGGTGTCCCGATTTTTGTTGAGATAGAGGGGGAGAGTGAAGTGTTAGGGCTACATGACCCTCCAAACGGAGGTTTTTCAGAGACTCCAAACAGAGTGATATGAGAAAAAAAGAAAAACCCGCCAAGATGGCTGAACAAGAGACCAAAGAAACCCACCAATGTGAGAATTTTCTCCATTAAAAATGATAATCATTATATTATCTTAGTTTAATGTTGTTTCAGTGTATTATGGTTGTTTTCTTCATAACAAACATTAAAAAATCGCTAATAGTACTCTAATGTCTCAGTAGCTAGCTAGCTAACTTTCCTGTTCCACCTTAAATAGTCCAGCAGTTCTGATGCCTGAAGCGCCAGAATGTAACTGCTGCACCATTTAAGGTGGAACGGGAAAATTCGAATGGGAAGCTGGAGAATATCTGACTTCAGCTTCATATCACTGAAGAATTAGGGGTGGGTGATAATAAATAATTGCCCCCCCCTTTGAAGGCGTATGACTCCCTAAATGTAACTAAAGCCCAGCAGTGAGGAGCTGAACTTTACCCTCCTCTGCTGTCACTGCAGACTGGCAGGGTCGCCTACAGAGCAGCGCTGGTAGCTGTTAATGAAGTGATGCTCTTTTTATTTGAGGGTCCCATTTCAGAGGGAAGATTTCAACCACTACCATGTAACTCAGTTCCAGGGAGCAAAGAGACACTCGAAAACAAGGGGTAGGAGTGAAAATAAGAAATGGGACTGGGCCTTAGGCTGCATTAAAGGGAAACGATGCATAGAGTTCTGGGGAGAATGAATGGTTGTGTCAGACGCCACCCATCACGTATTTAATTTCAAATCAAACCATTAAGTATAAGTTATTTTAGAGATTTTAGCCGAGGTTAGATGTTAGATAACCCGACTGCATGAGGAAGGAGAAAGTTAAAGAATAATGAGTGAAAAAACAGGAGTTTCCAAAACTGAAGTAAAAACTGATTAAAAGCTACAGAGAAAATGTGGCTCCTAACAACCACCTGGAAGACCTGGTAGACACCAGAACTGCCCCCATCAGATAAACAGCACTTAAAGCTTTCATCTTTGAGAGAGAGGAGAAAATCAAGCTGCTTCAGATCTGAAAACATCCACAGGTGTTTCTGTCCATCCTTCCACTGTGAGAAGACGACTCAGCGCTGTGGGTCTGAAAGGATGTGTAGCTGATCAAGAAGAGCCTCACTGAGAAAAGGAGACGGACACATCAAACAAAGAAGCTGAACAATGGACTGACCGCCCCAGAGTCCAGACCTCAGCATCACTGAATGTGTTTGATTACTTCAGAAAATGATCAACCAGCTTCTAAGACTGAACTTTGGAGGTGTGTCTGCAGATTCTTCCTGAGTGCACACTGTTCATTCAGTCTACAGCAGTTTAGCTCCGCCCACTCACACTGACGTTATAAGGAGTGTTTCAACTCAAACTGCTTTTTGAATGAGGCACAACGCAGGGCAACCAATCAGAACAGAGCTCATTTATGTATCAGTTAGTATAGTTTACTACAGGATACTGCACAAATATTACTAACTTCAGTCTTAAAAGGAGGGTTCTTTAAGGGTTCTTTAATAAGGACATTAGTTCTATATAGAACCGTGAACACTCAAGGTACCCATTTGCATGCTTAACGGGTTCTTTTCACGGTGAAATGGCTGTTTAGTAAAGGCAGTGGTTCTATATAGAGCCATGAACACTCAAAGAACCATGTGCATGCTTAAATGGTTCTTTGCATGGTGAAACGGTTCTTCAGACTGATGCAGAATGTGTTGTATATGATTCTACAAAGGGTTCTTCTGTTGTTACAAGCTTGACAATAGCAGAACCCTTTTTGGTGCTATATAGAACCATATCCAACACATTCTCAATCAATCTGAAGAACCATTTCTCCATGCAAAGAACCATTTAAGCATGCACATGGTTCGAGTGTTTATGGTTCTCTATACAAGCAGTCTGTACCAAAGAACCCTTGAAGAACCATCTTTTTTAGGGGTGTATATAAGGCAGCAGTGCAGGAACGTTATACGAAGGTGAGAATATTATAGACCACTATAGAATTATTACGCAGCACTATAGAGTCTAATAGTACTGCAATGGTTACAGAGGGCGATGCTATTAACCTGCTACCTGTGCGCGCGTGACCTTAATAAGAGACACCAGGCATGCACTGCAGTTACATCAGCCCAGACACAGGATCAGCACGTGCAACTGACTTCAAAGTTAGTGCCCCCACGCTTACCTCTCTGCTCACACTGCAGCTTCACTGGCTCTGAACAAGAGATGCACGCGGTCAGAGAGACAACTGAGAAAAGCAGGGCTGTTTTACAGCCCCACGTCCTCCAGCGATGCCCTACCTGGGGGGTGGTGTTGGGGAGGGGAAGAAGAGGTTACAGCCAGCAGGGTGGGGGCTATACCGCATTGAGGCGGTGCCTGGATGAAAAAATAAAACACACTGCAGTACGAGGCTGAACTTGACTCCTTATTCGCCAGCTTATTGTTCGAATTCTCCCGTTCCACCTTAAATGGTGCAGCAGTTACACTCTGAAACCAGCTTCTTGTTTGAATTCTCCCGTCCCACCTTAAATGGTGCAGCAGCTACATTCTGAGACCAGCTGATTGTTCGAATTCTCCCGTCCCACCTTAAATGGTGCAGCAGCTACACTCTGAGACCAGCTTCTTGTTCGAATTTTTACTTTCCACCTTAAAAGATGCAGCGCCTCAGGCGTCACAATGTAATGGCTGCACCGTTTAAGGTGGAACGGAAGAATTCGAACAAGAAGCTGGTCTCAAAGTTTAACTGCGGCACTATTTAAGGTGGAACGGAAAAATTCGACCAAAAAGCTTGTCTCAGAGTGTCACTGCGGCACTATTTAAGGTGGAACGGAAAAATTCGACCAAGAAGCTTGTCTCAGAGTGTAACTGCTACACCATTTAAGGTGGAACGGAAAAGTTCAGAACAAGACGCTTGTCTCGGAGTGTAACTGCTACACCATTTAAGGTGGAACGGAAAAATTCGACCAAGAAGCTTGTCTCAGTGTAACTGGGGCACCATTTAAGGTGGAACGGGAAAATTCCCGACTTCAGCTACGTCACTGCGGTGCTCTGGCAGCTTCTATGACTCAGGCATTTTCTGCAAGTGCTGAGCAAAGCAGCTGCAGAGAAGACCATTAAATACAAGCTTTAACTGTGAGAGCGACTGAATACTTAGAGTATTTTAAAGTGTAAAGGCAGAGAAATAAAATGTCTGCAGGACTATTTATGCAATGTAAACACAAACACTGAAAATAGATCAGTGCTTCTCCTGCTGCACTGCACACTGAAGCGCTTTTCCGCTCTGGGACAGTTTTTAAAACCCAATCAGGGGCTTCAGGATGAGCTGAAGAGCTGAATCGAGCAAGAAAACCACCAAAATATGCGCTGCATGGGGTTTAATACTGGGAAACACCAGCTCAGACGACTGTGCATCGCTCGCTTTGCCACTGAAGCTACGTGTTCTCGATAAAATCCAGATTCTAAGTTCAAAACAGCAGCCAAAGCCAAACCCCACCAAAACCAGCACCAGCATTCTTCGTGCAGGATGCGCTAGAACGCGTCTGCGCATGCGCACGCTGGTCTGCTCTGCATTGGAATGATCTGCCTAATAACTGCAGCTAAAATCAGCTCAGCTGAGTTTTTTGTTTGCTTTTTTTAAGCTTTTAGGATTAAAATAAATGAGCAGCCTACCTGCAGACTGTCTGGGAAACCCAGAAGCGGTGATGGAGATGCAGAGATGAGGGTGGAGTCCAAAGCAAAACCTGTCCCAGGATGCTCTTAACCCCTTATGGCCCAGAGACCACAACAGTAGCCCAGGGTTAAGGCTACTATACAGAAAAAACTACAAAGATGACCAAATTAGTCACAGAATAAGTGAGACACCAGTAAATGTTAAATGTATGGGCCTATAATGGATGTATGTGAGGTTTTAGTGAGAGATGAAACATGTAACTAATTTTTTACCTCCAAATGTAAATTTTTGATTGGAATTAAAGGCATGAAACATGATGAGTAAGACAAATTTCATATGTTGGTTGGACAGGCAGTGGTACAAAGTGGCCTGACACCAAATTTCAGATATTTTGGTAAAAGTGGAAAAAATGATGACAGTAATAAAATATGTAATGTACTAATATAGGTCTCTGGGCACTCAAAGGGTTAATTCAGCAACAAGACTGCAGCATTTCTGCAGTCAGATCAAGCAGCTGCAACTGCACTGCTAAGTACATACATGAGAACACACAAAAAAGGAGTTGAAGCTATAAAAAAAAGGATAAATATAAATAAATATGCACCGATCAGGCATAACATTATGACCACCTCCTTGTTTCTACACTCATTGTCCCTTTTATCAGCTCCACTTACTATATAGGTGCACTTTGTAGTTCTACAGTTACAGACTGTAGTCCATCTGTTTCTCTGATACTTTGTTAGCCCCCTTTTACCCTGTTCTTCAGTGGTCAGGACCCCCATGGACCCTCACAGAGCAGGTACTGTTTGGGTGGTGGATCATTCTCAGCACTGCAGTAACACTGACGTGGTGGTGGTGTGTTAGTGTGTGTTGTGCTGGTACGAGTGGATCAGACACAGCAGTGCTGCTGGAGTTTTTAAACACTGTGTCCACTCACTGTCCACTCTATTAGACACTCCTATCTTGTCAGTTCACCTTGTAGATGTAAAGTCAGAGACGATAGCTCATCTGCTGCTGCACAGTTTGTGTTGGTCATCCTCTAGTCCTTCATCAGTGGTCACAGGACACTGCCCACAGGATGCTGTTGGCTGGATATTTTTGGTTGGTGGACTATTCTCAGTCCAGCTGTGACACTGAGGTGTTTAAAAACTCCAGCAGCACTGCTGTGTCTGATCCACTCAGACCAGCACAACACACACTAACAGACCACCACCACCTCAGTGTTACTGCAGTACCTGCTCTGTGAGGGTCCACGGGGGTCCTGACCACTGAAGAACAGGGTAAAAGGGGGCTAACAAAGTATGCAGAGAAACAGATGGACTACAGTCTGTAACTGTAGAACTACAAAGTTCACCTATATAGTAAGTGGAGCTGATCAAATGGACAATGAGCGCAGAAACAAGGAGGTGGTCTTAATGTTATGCCTGATGGGTGTATGTGCATATATCCAAAAGAGGCAAAGCAGTTTTCTTTGCCAGAGCTTTACCTGTGCTGCCACCTAGTGGTGATGAAAATAAGTTTTAGAAGCATTTTGCTTTTCAAAAAAATCACATTTTTTATTTTCAAAACAGTCTGTTGTATAAAAATAAAACAATAATCTCTTATAACATTGGTGTACAGCGAGCTGGATTTGCTAAGAAAAAAACAAAAAACAAAAAAAAAAAAACAAACACAGGTTCAACGCTCCACTAACCACTTAGTAACATCAAAGTGACTTTAAATCATCAAAGTGATATTAAATAACAGGACTTGCCAAGTATGTTTGTGCTTCTGGGCTGGAACAAAACACGTCCAGCTTTGTACCTTTATAAAATTTGGCAACATCACAGTTCACAAGTGATTGTCACAAATCAGCAATCTGTCCAGCTGGTGCTGCTGTATGATTTAGTGGCCTTGCCTGTGGTCTCTTAACCATGACCAGGCAGCGCCCGTGAGGTGCACAGTACAACAACTCTATTTTTGCTATGCACATACATTAAATAAAGTGATTTAAACCCCCTCAACAGTCCTGCACACCCCATTAACCATTCAGCGTGTGACAGGCAAACCCTTTCATTCAGCTTCAATTCTATCATGGTGATTGGTTTTAATAACTATCATATCCATAGCATAACAAGGTGCCGATTAAATTGAGCGTACAAATCCACCATCAATGTGTGTTCCGTGTTTTTCACCTAAAATACAGAGAAAAACGTAAGACAGGAGTACGTCGAAAGGGTAACCCAGCTTGAAATGAAAGAACAGCTAACACAGAGTGACAATACTGTACATTGGTAATCCCGGAAATTTGCAGTCACTTATTAAATAGATTAAAAGCACTGGACCTGCAGAACTGCCCCCAAAATGTTTAAAGTTGTCGATAAAGTGGAATTAAACCAAATTTTCCGCATTTCCAGATATATGGATAAGTCGTTCAGAGCGGTTTGGTGTGAAACGCTCCGTTCTAGAGAAACTTATAGTCAGAATTGTTCACAGTGGTGGTGATAGGAACCAGACGTCCTGATGTCTGAGATGTCTCGATAGTTTTGAGAAGATTTGGCGTAAATTAAAATTTAAAATCCATTCATAGACGAGAGATACATAAATATAGATGTGTTAAGGCAAAATATTCCGCAAAGAAAACTTCCAGATGTTCCACTATTTTCCCACCACTAATGTCCCATACAAAGCTCCGAGGACTCGTGTAGGTTCACTGGTTTTGGATAATAAATAAAATGTCTATACTTGTGTTGTAGTCATGGCGACCCCTGGTTCCCATCACCACCACTGTAAAGACACTGAAGTCTGTATGTTTCTCTACAATGACTTTGCTTACATCTTAATTATGCAGAAATTTTGGAAAACAGGCGGCGTTCCCCTTTGATTTCTTACACTAGCTAAACAAAATACTGTCGCAAATGTTAAATTCAATTAAAGTCAATTAAATTATCAACTGCAGAGTTTCAAAAGTTCATAACGAAGCCTTGAAAGTCGATCCTCTACCATTCTACAACATTTCTTACCACTGCAACTTCACGGTAACCACAGCTGTTTTGTGTGAAAGTGGTTTGGCAGTATCGCGCGCGCATCTGTATGATCCTCGGTCACAGTGAAAGAGACATCGGTGTCACTTAAACTACATGTCATATGTACAGACTGGACTAATATTCACATGAAAAAGTGCAAAAAGGAGCACAGCATTGAGTCCACTGACTGAAAGTCCTTGTGTGCTGTGTTACGAGGTGCTGAATTAAAAAAAACACTGGGCTAAAAGTACCACTATGCGATGAGGACCAGCACGGTAGGTCAAGCGAAGACAGTATTAGCCCGAGTACGGCTCAGAAACAGATGACAGCTGATACCTGTGTAGCCAGATTAACACAGAATGACAGTAGGACTGCACAATACACTGTTCACAACGTGTGACCTGTGCAATAATGATAAAGCAATCGGCTGCATTTTGCTGTTGGCGCTGAGCGCTGCTGTGGGCTGCAACATGAAAATGAACTTTAGCCAATCACAGAGGGTCGTCTTTGTGCTGTGAGCATCCTGACAAGACAACAGGTGGTCCATGTGAGTGTCTGTTGGCGTTTTCATGAATCGAGGTATTCACATGTTCTGTTGGTCAAAATAATGGCCAATCCTGAAGGAGAATTCCATGAAAATTTTCAAGAATTCTAGATAATTCAATCATTAAAATGTAAATAAAATCAGGTGAGTGGTTTGGTGTGAAATGGTTCACTGTGGAGACTCAGATTTTTGTCCAAAACCACCAGTGAACCTACTGGTGTCTGGAGTTTTTGTATGTAATGCTGCTGATAAATTAGCTTTTAGAGACGGTTAACTCTTCAGACGTCTGGGGGCAGATTCTCGAAAGTGTTTTAAGAAAGAAAATCTTCTTAAACGTGTTTTTTCTTAACTTCATTCTTAAGAAAAAAGTTAAGAGAAACTGTTATACTACTGTTAACAACTTCTTAAGAATTGTCTAATTTTCTTAACTTGTTTTCCTAAGAATAATTCTAAGAACAAGTGGTTTTCTTGAAAATATTATGTTCTTAAATGTTTTCTTAACCTTACGACAGACTCACACAGTCTCGGGCTGTTAGAGTCGACGAGGTGAGCATCTAAATTGATCACAGATGCTGCCTCTGCTGCTCCTCATCCTCGTCCGTTACCCCACAACTATCATATTTTTCAATGAGGATTTTTTTCGGTTGGCTGTTTGTTCCTCCGTTACCTCCAGATCTTATTTGCTAAAATTTTAAACCCTTGGTTTTGATGTTTTTCCTCCATTTTGCTCGGACTAAATTAATAACAGAAATAACGGTTAATACAAACTCAAAATGTGTCTTGCATTGTTTATTTTACGTGGTAAAATGCAACGTAGCCGACAAAAGAAATCAATGAAGATTCTCTTAAGAAAATAACAGGAGAATAATTAAGATTATCCTAAGAAAATATTTCAGAACTTCAGTTTTTTTGAGGATTGCATTTAAGAACACCGGGCCTCATTCGTCAACTGTTCTCAAGGATAAATGTCTTAAAAGCCACTTTTTTTAGATTTTTTTTAGTTTTTATGAAGATTCTGAGACTCACCAGTGTTTTCTTATGAATTGGGATTTGTTCTTAGGTAAGAACAGAATCTACACACTCAAGAGCACAAAGGTGAGAACAGTTCTGCGCTTTAATTTTTCCTATGACCTTTCTCAAGAACACACTTAAGAACAAACTTAGGAATATACTGGTGAATGAGGCCCAATCTTATGAACTTCCTAGTGTTTGTCCTAAAAACCTTAGCAAGTTTTTTTTCCAAGAAAGCTTTTGTGAATCCGGCCTCTGGTTCCTATCACCCCCACTGTGAACTATTCTGACTATGCACGTTTCTCTGTAACGGAGCGTTTCAGGCCAAACCACTCATAATTACAGAGAAATTTAGTAAAATTGGTGAAATTCTCCTTCAACCATGCAACATCAACCATTCCTCAGTGTGTTATTAATGCATGGAAAAGCATTAATTACAGTACCAGGCAATGTTAAGGTCACAGTATGGTGTCTTGTGTATATTGTGCAGTCCTAGATAACACCAGGCCGAGAGCAACACAGGGAACCGAAAAGGTTTAAAAACGTGCTACAGTCAGTCCTCAGATAGGCGTGTTGGGCAGGTGGCCGTTGGAGCCGTTGCTAAGGGTATTTGGAGATTTTGCAGCGTTGTTGGCGTGTCCGTTGCGTTTTCCCCCGCTTGGCGAATTCCCCCTGAGCGCCTCACTCTCCTGAGGCGAGGCGCCCCCTGCCCTCTGCGAGCCGGGGCTGTGGGGGGCCGTCCTGCTGCGACACCGCTGCCTGACGCTGAACAGTGCAATTGTCAGCAATGCGCTAATGCACAACGCTAGCAGCACAGAGACCACCACCAGCTCCTGCAGGTAGCTGGGCGTCTTAGCCAGCAGCTGATGTTCCCCTCCAGCCACTCCAACCTCCAGCCTGCCCTGCTTATTCTCTGAGAAGTTCGTGCTGCTCTTGCTTGTGGTCACTGCTTGTGTCTCTCTGACAGACACGGTGGGCTGCGGCTCCTTCATGTTGGGATTCGGCTGCATCTGCATTAGAAATGAGAGAGATTAACATTGGAATTATTTTTGAGTTATTAATATGACATGCAAACGTTTGTGCACCCCTGGACAAAATTCCATGATGTGTTAATTTTGTAAGTGAAAATAATTTAAAACATTCTCTACAGAGACACACTTCTGCATAACACAGAAGTCCTGAGCATCTTCACGAGTTTATATAATTACATACAATTATTATAAAACATAAATAAATGAACACATTTTAAATGTGTCCAGAATGATGGAAAGAGCTGTAGAACGCTCTGAAATAAACGCAAGAAGTTATAATAAGGTTAATATCCATCATTTCTTGTATCACAAAAGTGACAATCACATTCAGAGACAGACATGTAAAAAAAGTACATATAAATAACTTAAAAATTAAATAAATTATAACTAATATAATAAAAAACTATATAATAATAATAATAGTAATAATATAATTATATAAGTTATATAAATAATTCTAATTATTAATACTTAAATAATTTTAATTATAATTAGTATAATTATATCTATATTATATATTATTATTGTATTATATAACTGTTATGTTATATAATACTACACGTAATATATATTATAATCTAATTATACCAGTTGTAATTGTAATAATTAACTATACAATTATTCTATAAAATATAACTATAAAATATACGTATATATTTAAACTATAAAATGAAATTAAAAGTATAAGTAAATAATTTAATAGTACATTTTTTAATCACTGAATAACTTAAAAAATAAACTAACTAGAATACTAAAAGTACCTTCGGTTGTCCAGCTTAGAGTATTCAAATCTGCACTGTATAAGTTATTATTGTAAAAAAAATAACAAAAATAATATAAGCAATTAAGTATTAGCATTAATGATAGTATTAATAGTGATAACAATGAAGTATTAATAATAATCTAAAAAGGAATTCCAAACATTTGTTTGCAGTGTATTTTCACTGATATTATGATGTTTTCATACCGTCTCCTCCCTGGCCCGCAGTGTGGTCACCCATTTAGTGGTGAAGGCTTGTCCAGTTTCGGAAGATTGTGTGACCTGTGGTCTGCTGGGTGTTACAGGCTGGAGGGTCGGGCTGCTCTTCTGTCTGACCTGGTATGTGATGAGCGTCTGAGTGAAGCCATTTTCCTCAGCCTTGCACAGGTAAAGGCCCAGAGTGGACGGCGTGGCGAGGAAGCTGAGGCTGCCGTCTTCCTGCTGCATGTAGATTTTCGGGGAGATCTGGCTGTTGGGCCGTTCCCAGTGGAGCTGGGCCAGATGGGAGACCGCTGGGCATTGCAGACGGACCACCTCATTCAGAGACACGGACACCAGCTCACCTGGAGGACATGGGGCTGTCAGGATTAGGGGTCAAGGGTCAGCACACATAGGACACTATGAGACAAGAGCACGAGACACAGACTGAACAGATTACAGTAAAGCTGCTGATTCCAACACACAGACTGTGATCAACAACGTAAACACGAGATAAAATGCAGGGGATACAATTTTTTGTTCTGCATATATATATATATATATATATATATATATATATATATATATATATATATATATATATATATATATATATATATATATATATACACACACTTGTATTTATACTCTGTGGGTACTGTTGTAGTACCCTTAGTTCATTATTAAGTTTTGGTTTGGAAACAAAAGGGTTAAAATATTGAAATGTCAAACAGAAAATCATCCAATCAGGAGTGTTTCCTCCATGGTATCTAGGAACAAACAGCCGAGTGAGCTGGTTGGGACTTCAGGAGCTGGACTACTGACATAATTAGGAGCTGACAGAGGAATCAACCAATCACATTTTGATTTACAAAGGGATCAAATTACTGAGCAAAAATGTCATTCTAGGTCTTCTGCAAGTTCTAGATACAACACTGACTGTGAATATGAGTCGTAGTCTAAGCAGGTTCTTGTTAGTTGTTAGGAATGTAAAACAGTGGTGGCAGCTCTCTGTCAGAACTCTGTACTGAAAGAGTCGCTGTAAACCTGATACATACAGGCTCAGATATATGATAATGTCTGTTACAAGCTTCAAATAAAACACACAGAAGTTTTTACAAGCTTCACATGTCTGTTAATGTAGAATGGTCTAAAAGTTGTTCATGGGCGCCAGTGTTAGCTTAGTGCTAACATGCCTATAGAAATTCCATAGGGGCGCTAGCAAAAACTAGCGTTGTAATGAGGTGTTTAAAGAACCAAAAAAACGTTCATTACAACAAAAAACTTACCATTTATTATTTATGATTATTTAACTGAAATGTTAACAAACGTTAACAGAATCATCTCAATTCACAGTTGACAACTCATAGTAAAATATGGTTTAAATAAAGTTATTAATCTGTTTCATTTTTGGCCATATTAATTTATACTGGCTAGTGTTTATTTGGATTTCTGGATCCTTAAAATCAGTACTGGTAACAATATGTGCATATAAGTTGAGCCCTAAATTACAGAGCCATTTGTGTGAGGAAAAACTGTACGTAAAAGAAATACACACACACACACACACACACACACACACACACACACACACACAGGTTTAGAAATCTCATAAAGCTGTGAGGACCAAACACAGACAGGACACACAACACACTTCTGACTCAACAGCCAACAAAGATTCAAAATAACCAGCACAATAAGAAATGACAAACACTTCATTACACTGTTTATTAGGCCTGGGTGATGGGGTGATGTGATTGGCTAACAGAGATGACTGACAAGTAAGACAATGAAGATGCTTTGAATGTACTAATCGCCGTCTTGGGGAAAAAACTGACTGAGAAATAGAGGGGAATAACTTAATAAAGTAAAACATAGTATAGTTATATAATATAATATAATATATTAGCTATAATTATACTAACTGTAATTATAATAATTAACTATACAATTCTACTATAAAATATAACTAAAACATGTATATATTTAAACTATAAAATAAAAAGTATATGTAATAAAATAAAAAAAATGATATCTATAACAATAGTAGTTGTAATTATATAATACTTATATGAATAATTCTAATTATTAATAGTTAAATAATTATTATAATTATAATTAGTATAATTATAACTATATTATATATTGTATAACATGTTATATAACTCTATACATAATATACTTATATAATATGATATTAGTTATAATTATACTAATTGTAATAATAATTAACTATACAATTATACTATAAAATATAACTAAAACATATGTATATATTTAAACTATAAAATAAAATAAAAATTTAATTTAATAGTAAATTTTTTGTCACTGAATAACTTCTTGTTGCTAAAATAAAAAATAAACGACTGACAAGTAAGACAATGACGATGCTTTGAAGGTACTAATCGCCGTTTTGGGGAAAATTTTCTGTACAGGTTAAGTGCCCTGATGGTTTGGGCAAGTAAAACTACGATAATATAACACTCCATGGTCTCCCACAGGCGTCTATGCCTAATAAGTAAAGCATGTCAGGGCTCTGGAGCTCATTCACTTAGAGCATGTCTAGTTTCAGCAGTCTGAAGTTTTTCCTGCAGGGGGCGCCATTAATACACAGGACGATTTAATGTGCGTCACTGAAAGAGTAGAAACAGCCATGACTGTACATGTTTGAAGCAGCAACAACTTTCTAAACGAGATGTGAAATAGTTTTTGAAAGTGTTCTGATATTCAGTCTTACATTATTTAGTATATGATCTTCAATGTTCAACTAAAGATATTAATGTAATGTATAAAACACAAGCTAAACAGAGCACAGAAAGTAGGTTACTGCGCCAGAGGGTGGGCTAATCGCCCAATTACTTTTAGATATTGCCCAGGCCCACTATTTACAGCTGTTCTGCGCTCATGGCCTGAAGTAAATCACAATCACTCACTTGCAGGAGTTTTGAGAGAGCCGGAGCCGGAGCGTGATCGGGGCGTGATAGGGGCTTCACACGCTTTAGACACATTGCCCTCATCCACATCCTGACGACTGAGAGAGAAAACGAGAAGAGACACTTTATCCCCATTTCAATCACAAAGGAACAGTTCAAATGTGTTATTCTTCACCTTTAGATGCCCCATAGGGCATTTACTATGAAATGCCTCTTCTGACATTCTACTGAAATATTTCTGATTTTTAGCTCATTAAAAAAAGGGGAGAAATTGTGTGAAAAGTGCAGATTCGAAACCTTCGATCCATACCACATTTGTGTCTGTAAGCAGAAGAGGAGGTAATTTATTACGATATAAATTTACTGATGAGGAAAAACATCCTTTAACCACAGTGTAGTTGGAACAATTGACTGAATATATGGTATATGTTATATGGGATATATACACTCATTGGTTGCTCTCACTGGACATCGAAGATGAGAGAGGAAAAATTCACTGAAAATAATGTTATTGAATTACTGAAACTAATAAATAGACGCTGATTAAGATGTATTATGTCCTCTCATATAGCTACAATAAAACACACTGCTTTTAAATGCAAAGAAACTTTTCTTTAGGGTCAAATTTGGGCAAATAAGGCAAATTAATCATGATTCATTATTGTATTTTTTGAATGACTATGCCATATAAAGACTATACTTCTACAGATTAATCGCACTGATCTAACATTATGCATATATATATATATATATATATATATATATATATATATATATATATGTAGATATATATATATATGTATATATATATATATATATATATGTATATATACACACACACACACACACACATACATACATATATATATAAATATATATATATATATATAAAATGTATATATATATTGGCTTCAAAAAAGTTTTGCTCTTAAATGATCAGCTGAAGACATGACTCTGTAAAATCGATTAAGAATCCGAAGCTGAGTGTCCTTATGTGCTGAAATAGTGAATATCTCTACTCACGCATTCCCTTTAATGGAGGAGATATCAGTGCAGGCTTTGTGCGAGGGGTCCCAGCCACAGAAAGGGTCTCTGGCTAACACACACTCAGCACAGCTCGAGTAGTAGGAGCAGTTGGAGACAGGAACAGATACCACTCCCTCAGAGGAGCCCACTAACACCACACCCTGCAGGAGACACCAGAGAGGACACATCAGGCCATCATACGCACAGACAGAGAGGGTAAAGATCAAATGTGGAAAGGGGGGTGGGGGGGGTGGCTGTGGTTTCTCAGTTTTATGTAATTTGATCTATACAAGTAATTTTATCAGCGCTCTCACTCTTTGTGGTATCTGCTACATGACGCTATGCTATGCAGCATCTGGTCTGTGGTCGCATTAAACAATGCTTTCTTTGGCTGTGGTCCCTAAAGCTTCTCATTAAAACTTGAAGGTCCAGTGGTACCTTAGAGGTGGACAGCAGGAGGTTTTTGACCAGCTGAGGCCGTGTTAACACCTGGATCTCCTCGATGATGTGGACGCCTTTCTCCAGAAGCACAGCTTTGTGCAGGAAGCCAGTTTCTGCCCAAGATAGGAAGGCAAGAGGAAAGAAAAAAAGAACACCATCATTTATATAATTATATAAAAATGAATAGGACAGACTTTTGAGCTCAGATCCTTAAATAACTCAACAATCCAACACGCTGGATGGTGGAAGAAACCTAGTCACGCCTTTGTACACTAAACTCCTGGCCACTTTATCAGAAACACCTACCTTGTACTTCCACTAACTGGCCACTTTATCAGAAACACCTACCTTGTACTTCCACTAACTGGCCACTTTATTAGAAACACCCATCTTGTGCTTCCACTCAATGGCCACTTTATTAGAAACACCCATCTTGTGCTTCCTCTCACTGGCCACTTTATCAGAAACACCTACCTTGTACCTCCACTAACTGGCCACTTTATTAGAAACGTTACCGTGACAACGAGCATCATGTGAGTCCAGTCAGAGTGAGATGAGCAGCAGTGAGCAGTGCTTGTGTTTTTAATTGCTTTAAAATGATGTCAGACTCAGGAAAACGTCCTTCACATGTCCTTATTAAAGAAGGCCGAGAGGAAGACGTCGTGTTCTGAGACACATAAGCTGGACGTCCGTCCCACCGCCGTCTTTTAAAGATCAGAGCATAAACTTCATCTCCTCTGCAGACCAGTTTCTGCTCCGCCATGTTGAACGGTATAAACTTTCACTGTGACGCGACGAACATGATCAGAACGTACTTAGACTTTCTGATAGGGAATGTAATCAGATACAGGCGTTTACACGGATATTATTCTTCTATTTAACGGATTATTTACAGGATTACCCACCTCGATCAATCGGATAGAAATTGTATCCGAATGGCCTCAATCGGACTAGACTATTCCGATTAAGGTGTTTACATGGACGTATTCTATTCCGATTGAGCTATTAGTCTGATTATTAATAGATTATCAGGCTGCATGTAAACGTGGCTAATGTAGCTCTCAAAAGTCCTGCATTTAGCCTAACAAGAACAAATCTATCCAAAACCTGCAGTGCAGCTCCAGCAGTGACTATTGACTATAAACGGAAGAACTAAACCTGGGAAAAGCGTGAACTGGTTGTTAGTGTGTGGTCAGTGGTACCTGTGAGCAGGTACAGGACGGTGTACTCTTTTCCCTTGAGCCCCACTCTCTGAGCTGCGATGTTGCTGTAGTGGTGCTCAGGTGACACCATGGCCAGCTCCTGATTGACGGGTAGGACACTTTTATCAGCCAGGAAGTTCTCCTTCACAAAGCGCAGCATGTTATCTGAAGCGTTGTGGAGGCCACACTGCAGAGAGACACAAACACAAGAATGAGCCATGACTTAACACTCACATTTTCTTAGATTTAGATCAAGCTTGAGAATGGCCTGGGTTTGATTCCCGGCCGGGCGACCAGGGTCGTTTCTGTGTGGAGTTTGCCTGTTCTCCCCGTGTCTGTGTGGGTTTCCTCCGGGTACTCCGGTTTCCTCCCACGGTCCAAAAACATGCAGTCAGGCTGACTGGACATGCTGAATTGCCCCTAGGTGTGAATGTGTGTGTGACTGTGTCTGTCTGTCTGTCTGCCCTGCGATGGACTGGCGACCTGTCCAGGGTGTATCCTGCCTTTTGCCCAACGACAGCTGGGATAGGCTCCAGCACCCCACCCAGAAGGATAAGCGGTTTAGATGATGCATGTTGACTTGACTTGACCATCACAACTTCTCTCAACCTGCTCAAACCCACCACACCCACGTCTTCCTTAAAGGGGGATTCTGCCAATTTGTAAATAAATCTTCAATAGTTTCAGCACAATTTAAAAGTTCTAGAGAAACTTAGCGAGTCAGAACTGTTCACAGTGGTGGTGATAGGAACCAGACGTCCACCTCTAACAGCCCCCTCACAGAAAGTTACTACATGAAATGGTGATGAATTCACTGCATGATGCCTGAGACACTGTTTTACACTAGTTTTGAGAAGATTTTGGCCTAAAACACATTTTTGAAAATCCAGACATGGCAGTGAGGCACATGCAGGTTGTTACAGTATCAAAAGAAAACTTTTCTCAGAATCTTTTTCAGATTTTCCACTATTTTTCCATCATCAACATTGTATATAAAGCTCAGAGGACTCGTGTAGGTTCACTGGTGGTTTTGGATAGTAAATAAAATGTCTACATTTGTGTTGTAGTCATGGCGACCCCTGGTTCCTATCACCACCACTGTAAAGACATCTGAACCATTTCATACCAAACCACTCAGAAGAGCTTTATTTACATCTCAACAATTGAATTATGGAGATATTTTGAAAAATTGGTGTAATTGCCCTTTAATTCTGTGAAGTTTAGAACTTGCCTCTCCAGGGTTGGTGATCTTCTCCTGCACTCGTGTGGTCCATTTCAGCGTATCCCTGCTCAGAGATTTGTAGTTTCCAGCAAAAACTTCTTTAATGTCCCTGAGGCTGAACACACACACTGCAGAGCGGCCGGAGTTTACAGACCTGTTTACACACACACACACACACACACACACACACACACACAAACACACAGACAGGACAAACACACATCAGTGAAATATTACAGTTTTGAAGGTGATGAAGGACAGGGATGATGACGTAGGCTTGTCATATTTACTACACAATTGCCTGACTGCTATTCTTTTCCACAGTTATTAGCAATATTATTGTTCATAATAATAAACATATTAAACAATAATAGACAATAGCAAACATTTCGCTGATGTCAGAAGAAAACCTCATATCTCCAAAATGACAACTTGACAGGAGAAGGAAAAAAAAACCTACTTTACCTTTAATGTAAGTCAATGGAACCAGACTTTTTTCAGTCATTCTGGGCCGTTTCTTTTGGTCAGTTCGTCACGAAATTTACACACAATGAAAAGAGCAAGACATTTTCAAAATATGTCAAAAACTTAAAAATGACAAAAATGGAGATACAAGGTTTTCTTCCGACACCAGCGATATTATTGTTCACAGTAAAATGTTTATTTTGTAACAAACAGAATGTGAATTGGGAGCGTTTTCATCTGATGGGCTGAGCCGAATGCATGCAAGCACAAGAAAGGAGAAAACATTTATTCATGAGTCTAAAAAAAAACTAAAATTCTAAGGTTTGTCTGGCGCTATACAACCTTTAGAGGGCAGCGGTGAGTAACGTTTGTTTATTTAAGCTCAAGCTGTTTCTGTTGTCATCTGGGAGCTACTAAGCATGGAGTATCAAGACAGCTAGTCAGCTAATTTAGCTGACTCAGGTTATGACTTTAATAGCTGAAAACAACAAAAATGGCAATCAAACAATTAATATATAAATAGTTTACATGGCAATTAATCATCAGCAAAGATTTCATTACTGTGAAACAGTCTGAGTGATGTTGGTTGTCCTTCCATCTCTATATTTTGTTACAGGAAAGTTTTAAAAATTGCTCAGCTAAATATGCCGACAATGAACTGAAGCTACTAAATACCAAATATCATGATGTACAACATGCAAAAAAGACGAAATATTTGAAGCTGAACTTGAACTGGATGGAAAAACTCTGTCAGACATCTCTGGTTTCATCAGTGTGAGTGCATGTATTCACCACTGAGAGCTGAAGATGCCATAGAACAGCGTGTCGTCCTCAGCGGCTCCCTCTGCTGGCTGGAGGGTGGTCATGTCCTGCAGGACGTTGTAAGGCAGTTCTCCGCTGGCCTGACAGAGGAGCTGAGCTTTGGTGAAGGTAGTCCAGCGCCGCTGCAGAGTCCGCTGACCCCCATTATCACTCTGCATGCAAATACAGAGGCATTTAATTAAGTGACATGGCCGATAAGTAAAATCAATCAGAATCAGAAATCAACTTTATCAATCGGCGATCTTTGCCCTCTAGATTTGATTCTCAGGAGCAATTTCCACTTTTAAAAGGGCAATTTTTTACAACATTAAACTCTGGTCAGTAATATTTCATGTGTTGTCTCTGTACAGATAGATTAAAACTAAATACATAAAAAGTTTAATTAAAGAAAACAAGACTTCAGAGGCATTTTGTAAACTTTTAAACCTTTTGAGAAATAAATATATACACTGATCAGGCATAACTTTCTGACCGCCTCCTTGTTTCTACGCTCATTGTCCATTTTATCAGCTCCACTTACTATATAGGTGCACTTTGTAGTTCTACAGTTACAGACTGTAGTCCATCTGTTTCTCTGATACTTTGTTAGCCCCCTTTTACCCTGAACTTCAGTGGTCAGGACCCCCATGGATCCTCACAGAGCAGCTGTTGGCTGGATATTTTTGGTTGGTGGACTATTCTCAGTCCAGCAGTGACACTGAGGTGTTTAAAAACTCCAGCAGCACTGCTGTGTCTGATCCACTCAGACCAGCACAACACACACTAACACACCACCACCACCTCAGTGTTACTGAGGTGTTACCGCATTTTATAGGGAGGTGAACAGATTTTACAAGTATCTATTTCTCAAAATAAGTAGATATTTTTTGTGATTAACATTGCAGTTTACATTATGTTTTACAACAAGGGCGGGGAGAGGTAAGGGGGAGGGGAAGTCAGGACAGCAACATACATTTTTAGGAATAGACACAAATCAAAAATAAAACAAAGACAATACATAAACAACTACGCAACTGAGCAACATCACATAATTTAACTGGAAACTAAAGTTCTTGATTAGAGTCATATAAATTGTCCAAGTTTCTTATTGTTGACTGTTTTGCCTCGTTAAGCTTTGCTGTAAGATGTTCCATCCGAACTACCTTTTGAAAACTAGAAAAATAAATATATTTTTGATAAATGATTGAAAATGATTTCATCATCCACTTGGCCTCATTATTTCCAACATATGTTCACCATGATATACGGCTAACAGCAACAAAAAATTAAGACATTATTTCATTTATTTTTATGCTCAGATATCTCAAAAACCGCTCTGCGTTACCAAGTTAGCATGGATAGCCGATTAGCTCGCTGAAGCTAACCTAGCCGAGGGTGAACGTGCTCTGTTTGAATATTCCGCTCCTCCACAACTGCGACTGGACACTTGAGTAATGTAGGCGTGATGCACGTTCGAGCGGTGAGTTTGAATTTGGCCAGTGTGCATCAACAGAAGTATTGAGACGGCGCCGCTGACTTACTGTGCAAACCTGGGCGATGCGAGACACGGTGAACTTATCGATGAAGTCGTATTCCCGGCCCATCTCACTAAAGAAGAAATAGACCTTCTCCTCACTGGGAATGGAGGCTGAGCTGATGAAGGTGGGCTCTGCGGGGGGACAAAGAAAAGCAAAAAGGGAAAACAGACAATCAGATTAAAGTTCTTTAGTCATATTGAAGGTCACATGTAATATAAGCCATGTCAGTTTTTATTATTGCTGTTTACCATCTAGCCAGCCCAGCGTATCATCCAGCTTCAGATCAACATGACCTCCATCACTCAGATGACGAGAGATAACAGGCCGGTTCCCCCTGTAATCCGCCACCGTGCCGGTGTACAGCTCTCCACCTACAACACAACACACAGACAAGTCTATATAGCACAGGACTATACCATACATATCTAGCACTCAAAATCGACCCAAAAAGGTACTAAACTGTCACTGGGGCAGGGACCCTCTTGTCACTGGGGTGGGACCCTCAAGGGTCCATCTCAATACCTTTAGTCAGGGAACATAACTGAACCATAATCCACTGAAATGATATGTTCTAAGCTGTATTGACTCCACACACCCCGTCTCGTCTCCAGGCTTTTATTTTACTGTTCTGTTTAAAACATTCGGTTATGAAAAGGTACAAATACGAACTTTTCACCTGGAAAAACTTATTTAAGGTTCACAATCAGACCTTAAAACCACTGTTGTACCTTTGAGGGAACATTTACACTGTTTGTACCTTGATGAACGAAAAATGTACCTGAACAGAACCTCTAACAGTGTGAGTTCAGTCAGTTAGGCTGATTTATTTTAGGTTTTATTTACTATATCAGATTTTCAATGGATCAAAAGCCTACATACTACTTTGATATTTGGTGGTATGGCCTTTTAATTGATGAACTTGAATCAAAGGTTTGGGGTAGCCTTCCACAGGCTTCTCACAGTACTGGATGCTGTAACCCAGTCAGGTTTGTTGGCCTCCTTGCTCACTTTTTTCAGTTCAGTCCACAAATTTTCTATGACTGCGACCAAGTGTTAGCTTTCTGGCTGATGTTTTGAGGTGCTGCTTTAGTATTTCAGATGACTCCCCTTCCTCATGATGCCACCTGTTGCCTGAAGTGCACCAGTCCCTTTTCCAGCAACACACACAACATGCGACCACCACCATGCTTCACAGCTGAGACAGTGTCCTTTGGAGTAAAAGCTTCATCCTTTTCCTTCACATGCAGGCCTGATCATTATGACCACACAGTTTAATTTTTGTTTCATCTGACCAGAGAAATTAGGATTACAGTAAAAATTGGGACTACATCAATTTGGACTAGCATTACAGACAAAATTTGTTTCTGTAAGGATTACACATGTAGTAAAACGCAGATCTTTTAGTAGTGCAGTAGCCCAGCATTACCTAAACATTCTGCTCTTCAGGAGAACAAAAAATACATCAGCAAATATTAGTCTGGAATTGGCCAAATCTAAACATCTGATGCTGATAATCTGCTGACACTGATTTGATTCCAGTATCGTTCTGCATCCCTAACAGATGTATTATTACTGTATTACTGCCTACAATAGCTGAAAACATTGCCTTTGCACTGGAGACAGAGGCAGCAGCAGGTTTTCAGTGTGAACTGAAGTCACACATCACCCACTCGAAGTTAAGTCCATCAGGAGCTTAAGAGCAAGGGGATTACTCCAGAGACTGCCCACGTTTTCTCTTCTCTCTTTCTACTCTACTTACTTACACTCTCTTTTTTCTGCATCCATTGTTTTTTTTTTGTTTTCTGTCATGTAGGAAACCTCTGTCTACATCAGGGTCGTCCATTCAAGACCCACATTCACTCAAACTTTAATTTTAACTAGGGTATTTTTATTTTATTTTTTTTACTTTTAATTTTAATATATTTAATTTAATATATTTAATATAGAATTAAGAATAAAGAATTAAAAAATAAAGAAGAATAAAGTATCCTATAATATAGTATTGTTCTAATACAAAAGAGAGATGCCCAATATTTTACGGGTGTAATTACAAATAATGATTCTGCATTTTACAATTTGGCCACAGGGTGGAGCCGAATAGTTTCCTGAAGCACCTGTTGATGGTTAAAGGGGAATTTCACAGATTTTTTAAAATTTCTGCATAATTCAGTGGTTGAGATGTAAAGAGTGATTCAGAGTGATTTGGTGTGAAATAGTTCAGATCTCTTTCCAGTGGGGGTGATAGGACCTCTTTCATTAGACGGATAGTGGGTGTTAGATCAAGGTTAGACGCAGACTCTGCAGGGAGAGATGAGATGAGGCCTAAGTGACACGGCTCTGATTTAGCGGAGGAGTCTTACCCACAGTGATGGCTGTGTTCTTCTGGTAGGGGTTGTAAGGGCAGCGACCTCTGCCCTCTTCAGGCTTACCGCCAGTCACCAGGGAGAACTGCTGAGAGCTCTAAGAGAGCAAACATACACAGAATGGAAATCTGATAAATTATAAATAAATAAATAGGGGTGTAATGATGCACATGTTCTCAGGTTCAAAACAATCTTGACTTCTAGATTCATGGTCAAGACAAATTAATGCAGTTTTTTTTTTTTGCCACATCACCATTTTAACTCTAACTACATACACAGTTCAACAACAGCATGTCATTTGAACAGGGGTGCACAACATTTTGCCTTACAATGTAATTTTAATTTATAATTACCTAGGTTAATTAATTGCATTTATTACTTATTTGTATTCCAAATTTTACACTGTTAATAAATGTAATATTAATTTTAGGTTAAGATTTGATTCAATTTTTGATGTTGCTGTGTTAAAAATTCACTATGGGACTGAATAAAGTCAGTTGTGTGACATGCTAGGTTGGATGTTGGGTTCTAAAGGGAGACACAGCACCACCAATGTCATCCTCCAGTGACTGAGCAGGAGGAGGATCACGCTAAGGGTACTACTCTCAGACTTCTACACGCAACCTTCCACCCCAACCCCCACCTCCCCTGCACGGCAGCACACGAAACCAGCTGAGGAGAAGCCGTGTTCACATGACAGGATAAAGAATGTGTGCTGATGTGTGAAGAACACACACACACAACTGTGCACACACACACACACACAGTAATGATCAGTGAAGGAAAAAACTGAGCAATGACATAAAATGCAGGTAAAAATGCACAGAGACAAGAAGGTCGAGCAACTCTGTGACAAAGAGTTTGAGCTGTGAATTAATGACTCACTCATACTCGACCTCTGACACTGACATTTCACCAGCATTTAAATTTTAACGTTGGTGAACTTTAACACACAGATTTGCATCGCTGAACAATGGCAAATAGCTACTGCTCACACACACACACAGACACACACACAGACACACACAGACACACACAGACACACAGACACACACACACAGACACACACACACACACACACACATAATATCAAGTTGGTTATTCACACTGCTACCTTCATTCTCTCCACTATACTATGCTATACAGCTACAAAACGACTTCACTGATGGGATGCGTTCCATAGGACAGACTGAGCTAAATAACTCTTAGTAGATACTGAATAATTAATAGTAGATACTGAATAATTCATATTAAATACTGAATAATTTATAGTAGATACTGAATATTTCACAGTAGATACTGAATAATTCATACTAAATACTGAATAATTCACAGTAGATACTCAATAATTCATAGTAGATACTGAAGAATTCATATTAATTACTGAATAATTTATAGTAGATACTGAATAATTCATAGTAGATACTGAATAATTCACAGTAGATACTGAATAATTCATACTAAATACTGAATAATTTATAGTAGATACCGAATAATTTATAGTAGATACTGAGTAATTCACAGTAGATACTGAATAATACATAGTAAATACTTATTGATTTTGATTTATAGTAGATAGTAAATAATTCATAAATCTAGGGTTTGAGTGGCTAATCAACAGTTTCTAACCATGTCATCAAAGGTTTAGTAAAGTGTTTATTATACTGTACGGTGCACTGCGGTCTCAATGTGGTATCTGTTGCAGAACCTAAAGGTGTAGAGGTAAATGCAGCTGTAGGTCTTACGATGTAGGTGCAGCGAGGGCTGAAGGCAAACGTTCCACAGGCGTACATATGGGTGGAGTTCAGCACCTGCAGGACTCGTACAAAGTTCGGACAGTCCGTCTGTGAGAGACAGATAGACAGACACAGGGAAGAGGAGGTATGAAGGTATTTAGGATACAGAGTTAACAATCTTTTAAAAGCAGCAGTTTGGCAAAAAATTAAACACACTCAATCCAGTGTAGTCAGTTAGTTAAGACATGCTTGGTATCTGAAGTTCTTCCATCCTTTAGTCCATGTTAATAGATAACAGTGAGTCATACAGTGTCAGAAACCACACAATCACGTCTTTTTGAGATACTGACCAACTCCACACAGTGTGAGGAGAGCGTGTGATGATTTAATTGGGGGTTATAAGCTTCCATTACTTCTTATCTACATTAGTATCTCAGCTCACGCTAAAACTAAAGAAGCAAACTTGAGACTCCAACCATGTTTTGGCTGATTAACCACATCTGATGGTGTAAATTTCCCCCTTAAACATCATCCGGTATGTTTTGTTTGAAGAGAGGAATTCGTGAATATTACTGTATTGTCTCTGTATAACAGCATCTACACTTTTACTCCAACTGAACCGAGTGTCATCACAGCCACATTACTCCTGTTTATCTCATACCTTCTCCTTGCCTTTCATGGAGCAGTCGTTGAGGTCCTTCACGGTGGGTGACCAGTCGAGCTGAAAGTGGAGAAATGAGACAGAAAGGGTCACTCATGCATCACCACACAGTGAAAATAAATAATATCTCTGTGATAAAAGACCAGAGGCAGGCAGGCTTACTGAGCACATGGAGAACCCAACCCATCTTTCACCCCATTCACACCTGGTCACTCAGACCACCGACTAGTATCTAGATTGTATCCTGATAAGAGTTTAGCCACAAGCATTTACTCTTGGCGGTCAAATGCGTCTTCAGTTAGTCGGACTGAAATCTGATCGCCGTGTGGGACGGAATATGCAAATCTGCTTATTATGCAGCAACCAGCTACCAACTGTTTATCTGTTCAGCCTCTTTGTCTGTAGGTTGTTTTGCACAGTAGTGTCTGTCTATACTGCACAGGGAGGAGTTTCGGTTGTACTGGGAGGGGTTTCGGTTTCACTGGGAGGGGCTTCAGTTGTACTGGGAGGGGGTTCGATTGTGCTGGGAGGAGCTTTGGGTGTACTTGGAGGAGCCTTAGTTGTATTGGGAGGGGTTTCAGTTGTACTGTTAGGGGTTTGGTGGCACTGGGAGGGGGTTCGGTTGTGCTGAGAGGAGTTTCGGTTGAATTGGAAGGAAATTTTGTTAAACTAGGAGGAGTTTTGGTGAAACAGGGACAAGTTTTAGGTGTACTGGGAGGAGCCTTAGTTGTACTGGGAGGGGTTTCGGTTTCACTGGGAGGGGTTTCAGTTGTACTGTTAGGGGTTTGGTGGCACTGGGAGGGGGTTCGGTTGTGCTGAGAGGAGTTTCGGTTGAATTGGAAGGAAATTTTGTTACACTAGGAGGAGTTTTGGTGAAACAGGGACAAGTTTATGTGCACTGGGAGGAGCCTTAGTTGTACTGGGAGGGGTTTCGGTTTCACTGGGAGGGGTTTCAGTTGTACTGTTAGGGGTTTGGTGGCACTGGGAGGGGGTTCAGTTGAATTGGAAGGAAATTTTGTTGAACTGGGAGGAGTTTTGGTGAAACAGGGAGAAGTTTCAGTTGTACTGGGAGGAGCCTTAGTTGTACTGGGAGGGGTTTCAGCTGTATAAGAAGGATTTTGGCTGTACTGGGAGGGGTGTGGTTGTACTGGGAGGAGTTTCCGTTATACTGGGAGGAGTTTTGATTGTAGCAGGAGGTGTTTGGTTGTACTGGGAGGAGTTTGATTGTATTAGGAGGAGTCTTGGTTGTCAAATGTATCTTGGAGAGTCAGGGATGTGTGTTTACGCTGCTATAACGTGGCTGAAATGCGTCTCAGTTCACCTCCTGAAGTGGTTTGAATGATCAGATTCGTATGTTTTAAACGCATTTACACTTGCATTTTTATGTGGTTTGGCCTCATCCAGATATAATCCTGATACTCAAGACGCATGAACTGACCAGGCGTAAATGGGGTCTTAAACAGGTGCTCAAATAAGGCACGTGTAATTTGGAATAATAACCATGAAAAACATTAATCAAAATTAAACAAATGTTGATATTTGAGTATCTGTCATAGTTCATGGATGGATATCCAGTTAAGCCAACACCCTCTCCAAAAAAAGAAAGATAGAGCTGTGGCTTAACCTTTTTCATAACATTGGAGGCAGTGAAGTGCAAAACATGCTTAATTATTCAAATTTAGCCGAGAATTCAGTATTCAAATTCTGGCACCTCTATAATACAGAACATAGAAAAAGGGACTAAATCCACTTGGAGTAGCATCCCAGAGAAATATAGCACTTATAAGCAGGGAACCACAAAGATATCAGATTCATATTGGTATCAGCGAATAATTTCTTTAAAAAAAAATTGCTTAGATTTGACCGATATCAGAATCAGAGTCAGTTTTATTGGCCAAGTGTGCTCCACACACAAGGAGTCTGTCTCTGGGTTACAATGGTTTTTACAGTGCTCATAAACAATGCTATTGCCATGACACAGTGCTTACATATAACAATAAGACAATAGACATGATTCTACAATAACGCCCAAAAATATTGCACAGCTTAAGTATTGCGCCAAGTCCACAAGGGAAATAAAATTGCACAGTTTAAGTATTGCACAAGGACCAAAATATTTCATAACTATGATTGAGTATTGCACAGTTCAAAGCATGTGGTGTTTGGGGTATTTAGGCACATGACTTGTGTGAGTTTTCATTCAACAGCTTAATGGTTAGCGGAAAGGAACTGTTCCTGTTTCTGGATGTTTTGGCGGCAGGTGCTCTATAGCGGATGGGAGTAGTTCAAACAGACTGTGTCCTGGGTGTGAAGGGTCCTCAATAATGTTCCCTGCCCTTTTCCTGACAAGGGAAGAGTACAGGTCCTGGAAGGAGGGCAGACTGTTGCCCATGGTCCATTCTGCAGCTCTGACTATCCTCTGGACTTGTCATGCTGGCTGGCAGAGCCAAACCAGACAGCGAAAGATGAGCAGAGCATGGATTCAGCAGCGGCTCTGTAGAACTGCCCGAATTTGACCGATATTTGGTGAAGTATTTATGCAGAGCGTAATGTTTAGGTGACGCTGGGTTACTACACTAAAACACATGCATTTCACTGCCATCGGAACAAAACCTCGTATCTCCATTTTTGTCGTATTTTCAGTTTTTGACATAAATTGAAAATGCCTGTTGCTCTTTACACTGTGTGTATATTTCATGATGAGTGAACCAGAACAAATGGGCCAAAATGACGCTGGCTCCATTGACTTACATTAAAAGTAAAGTATGTTTTTTCCTTCTCCTGTAAAGTTACCATTTTGGAGATACGAGGTTTGTGATTTACCTCATTTGACTGCACTTCTTACTCTGCAGAAACACCTTATACAAATTTAAAAAGTAAAAAAAAGGTTTAAATGCCCATAAATGAAAATAGACAACAAAGCAGGGGCCAAACCAGCACACCCTGCCAGCAGCTGAGCGCCACCCACCGTCCTGTTGAGGATGAGGCCGCCCCCCTCGTTGACGCTGAGTGAGAGGAGAGCGTTCCTCGCTCCGACAAACAGAGTCTCCTCATCCTTACTCAGCAGCAGTGTGGTGGTGTTATATACGTCAGGAGGATTGAAGATGCTGACTGCTCGGCCTGGACTGTCTGCAACAAGACCAACAAAACAAAAAAAGTTTTCAAATGAAAGCGCTGAAACAGGAAAATGAATGTTGCAACATGCTCAAAACAATAGTTTTCTCTGTTCTCTCTTAACCCAAATGTAGTCAATCAGCCAAGACATGTTTGGTGTCTGAAGCCTGCTTCTTTAGGCCAGTTCCACACAGCACAACTTACATACATCTAGTTGCATGCAACTTAATTCTCATGCAACTTGACAATTACAGGACAAATGAAAACAGTCACCTTTTCAAGCACCCAATAAATAAACTCATATTTTATCTTCTTGAGCATTAATTCGATTAATTTGGATTAATCTGGATCAATTTAACTGACCGTTTCATGAAACTTGCTTCACAAATTGAGACGTTTTAGCGGCTGAGTTTCAAGAGAGTTGCGGTGCGCTTTACATTATGCAACTCCAGTGCAATTTAGTTTCATGTTTCCTTACTGTGTAAGGCCAACCTTAGTTCTGCCTCAGAGCTACAGGGCTAAGTAGCTAAGTAAGGACTCCTGTATCAATAAAGTTGCTGAATGTTGTGCTGATTGTATGAGAAATTATATATTACAATTGAAAAGGTAGACTGGGTGTGCAACAAACACAGATCCTGGCCTGGTAAGATTTCTCCAAGCCTGTTTGTTTACTATGGACAGAGACTGATCTGAATCACTTTGACAGGTGCCACATTTCATTTGCATCAACTCCACTGGCCTTTTTACAGCCATCAGGTAATGCATTATGAATAATCACCTGCTGAAGCGGCTCCGTAAATTGACTAACCCTGACTCTGCTGGGTTAAAAACACATGTGTGAAGGGATATCGACAGAATACAGACAGGAAAATGTGCATAAAATAAAATGCTGTGGCATCTGAAATGCGCCAGGAACGTCTGACCATTATAATCTTTCACAGGGATCAACACTAACAGCGAGCCACAAGACGAGGAAGAAAGATCAGTTTCGCTGATAAGCAGTTTGAGGTCCTTAAACAAATTTAAACCAGCCTTTAAATTCCACTTAACAAAGCCAAACATCGGAACGCGAGGACAGACAGTAAACACATAACCGATCAGAAAAATTAAATATGACTAATTCGCTCCAGCCAACAGCCTGAATCTCATCATGCGCTCAGAGGTGGCGCTGCAGCTCTGACAGGGAGGGCTAACATGGCATTTACACAGACGCTGGAAAGTTTAATGAGGTCTAGCTTCACACATGTTTTTAATACCAAAGATCATCTGTTCTTTGTCAGTTTTCAGTAAGTTTTCAATGAGGAAAACATCACGTGTGTAAATATTAGTAAATACTTAAAACACACACACACACACACACACACACACACACACACACACACATACACACACACACACAGAGACAGTCGCATACAAAAGTTTGGGCGTCCCTGGTCAGTTGACCTCAACGGAAAACACACTTCAATGTTTTTCTGCAAATTTTAATAAACAATTTCTCTAGAACCCATGTGTCCAACACAAGAACCGCGGGCCGTGGCACAATCCAAACCGGCCCTCGAAATTATTTTGATTTTACATTAATATTAGCCCATTTCACAATCAGCAGCACTACAATCCCCAGCATGCACTGCAACATAATTTCTGCTGACATCCCACTCCCAACAACAATCTATGGGACAGCAGTTTTCTACCCAACTGCACACATCATATCACCAAACACAGCAGCTGCGTTTCAACACGTTCAGCTGCAGTTCAACCAACATAAACACTGTAAACACTCAGCAGCTCAGAAACTGATTAAGAATTAATGAACTTGCAGACAGAAAAGATGTCGGGTGTCGAGTTCAAGCACACAGGGAGGTTTAAAACACCTACATCCTGGGGACATTTAAAGAGACTTAACAGTTATCTGTATCTAAAGTAGCCTAAATATATCAAGTATTCACATGTAATATCTGAAGGTTCACTACAAGTGGCCACACTGTGCTGTTGATGTTTTGGCGTATTTAAATATAAACACTCTCTGGCCCTCAGATTTGATGAGATTTTTTAATATGGCCCTTTTAGTGGTTGAGTTTGAAACCCCTGCTCTAGAACATAAAACATAAAATACACAATGTGCCACAACTTTTACACAGACTACATTTTATATTTCATTTCCTTCCCAACATGCTAAATTCTTAAAATCAGTAAATAAACAGTAATTCAAATGTGCAGAAGTCTGTCTCTGTAGAGCAGGGGTGTCAAACTCAACCAGTAAAAGGGCCATATTAAAAAAAAATCTCAAATCTGTGGGACAGAGGAAAAAAAGGTTTTATTTCATTTTTAATTAAACGTTGTGCTGTAACCCGAACTGACCATTGCTTATTCAAAATATGCAAAATCGTCAATAGTTAAACAAAGATGCTTGTAGTAGACCGTGAAATATTGCATGGACACCTGAAATGTTCAAAATTTAAATGTCCCCAGGTTCTCTGTCTTCTAAACCCACCTATCAGCTTGAACTAGTCACCTGGCAGCCTTTCTTTACTGCATGTTTATTGACTTGGGCTCAGTTTCTGAGCTGCTGAGCTGAGATTAAGTGTTTATGTTGGTTGAACTGCAGCTGAAATGCATTTTGGTGAAATGACTGGTGTGGAATTCTGTAGAATTGTGTAGAACTGAGGTGTAACCGCTGTCCCATAGATTGTTGTTGGGCTATGAAGTCAGAGCACATTACGATGCAGTGCATGCTGGGGACTGTAGTGCAGCGCACTGTGAAACTGGCTAATATGAATAGAAAATTAAAATACTTTTGCAGGCTGGGTAGGATTGTGTGGCGGGCCTGATCTGGCCTGCGGGCCTTGGCTGTAGAGGATGTGTTACACTTACATCATCAACAAAAAATGGAATTAATCTGGGATAAAATTTTGCACACAACTGTATATTTGCTGTTGAAACTCACAGCTCTAAAACAAAAACATTTAACTTTTAATGCGTCAATGTAAAGAGATTTTTATATTATTATAATCATGAATTAGTCACACAGAGCAAAGAGCAACTGCTGTATTTAAATTATGTGCTATAATAAAAATTGAAGGAAAAAAAAACAAAAAATTGAGATACATGTTTTTTTTGTTGTACAGTGGCATATATGCATGCGCTCAGAGAGGGAGAGGGAGTGGGAGAGGCAGAGAGAGAGAGAGAGAGAGAGAGAGAGAGAGAGAATGTAATAATGATGTATGACAGGTAGAGAGAAATGCTGGGTGACAGATGTAACCATGCGATGAGGCTCTTTTAACCTCGGTGACTGGTGACTGCTTATTACATAATCATTAATCTTAAGACTATTTATTCAACAACTCAGTAACAACTACAGATTACTGGATTTCTATGTGAAGAATCAGAAAGATCAGGCCTTGTTTTTTAAAATCTCTGCATAATGAAATGATTAAGACACAGAGAAACAGTCATTCAGAGTGGTTTGGAGTGAAACGCTCTGTTCTAGAGAAACTTACAGAGTCCGAACTGTTCACAGTGGTGGTGATAGGAACCAGACGTCCACCTCTAAAAGCTACTAAAAGTTACTAGATGAAATGGTTATGAATTCACTGCCTGATGACTGAGACACTGTTTTATGATAGGTTTAGGAAGATTTTGGCCTAAAATCCATTCATGGTGGAGGGATACATGCAGGGTGCTGTGAGGCAAAATAGTTCCAAAAGAAAACTTATTATTTCAGATTTTCCACTATTTTCCCATCATCATCATTCCATATAGACTCAGAAGACTCATGTGGGTTCACTGGTGGTTTTGGATAGTAAATAAAATGTCTATATTTGTGTTGTAGTCATGGCGACCCCTGGTTCCCATCACCACCACTGTAAAGACATCTGAACCATTTCACACCAAACCACTCTGAATCTCTCTGTTTATATCTTAAGGACTGAATTATGTGAAATTTTTGTAAAAATGGTGGAATTTCCCTTTAATGTTAAAGCTTCTGCTGGTCCAGCAACAGCACAGTTTTTGTTTAAGCAACAAACGTTACAAAAAAAGGGCGCCCAGACTCTCAAGTGCAAGTCTTCAGCAAAACAGAAACCGCACACATTTATTAATACTCATACATCTCAGAGTCGCTGGGGTTTGAGGGTGTTTTTGGTGACAGTTGAGACGCATAGAGCAGAAAGTTGTCCGCTGTGCATCGCTGAGACAGAAATATCATTCAACAGCTTCAACACTATATAGAAATCTGCAGAGCGCCCACAGCTGTACCTCCAAATTTAGCGGCTCAGTCAAGAACTGTCTGGTGTCTGAAGATAAGATAATCCTTTATTAGTCCCCCAAATGGGGAAATTCACAGTGCTACAGTAGCAAAGACAGAGCAAGACACTCAAGAAAAGAGTAACAGGAAGAGAAATAACAAACAATGTATTAATCTTATTAAATACTTAACACAGTTACAGTTTGTTATTAAAGCAATAAGCCACGAGAGGCAGCGGGTTACTGAGATTTTATCACAGCGAAGGGTAAAACTCCCTTTCCCTTATAAAACGGCGTCCAATATGAAATACAATCAAATGCACAATGTTTTAGATAATTATTTAAGTTATTATTAATAATAACAACCGACAAAAACAAGTATAAACACACTATTTAGCTAAGTAGTACAGAGCCATTTGGGATTCAGTCTGGGTTTGACGCGATTTCTGACTGAAACACGGACATCTGAAGTGTGTCAGACATTCAAGTGACGCTCTTTAGACTTATATACTGCCGTTTTTCAGTGCATCATATCGTGAGTACTTTAGTTCACGACTGTGATATTAATGTTGGAGTTGTTTACCATATCTTTTAGCCTGTTGGCTAGCTGACCAGCCTGGTTCTAGATAAGAAAATACATTTTCAGCCACTCAAAAACGGGTTTTTACTTCATCAGTACACTCGGTGCTCCGTGTGAGCAGCACCAGAGTCAAAGATTAACCCATTAACAGCAGAAGGGTTCTTCGTGCCGTGGTGCAGTGATACAGAGTTCA